TTTAGGGGGGGGGGTACTGTCACGCCCTGGCTCTGGGGACAATGTTATGTTGAGCCAGGGTGTGTATTCTATGTTTGATTTTCTATGTTGGTCTGAGTGACTCCCAATCAGAGGCAACGAGTGTCAGCTGGTTGTCTCTGATTGGGAGCCATATTTAACTGTCTGTCTTGCACTTTGTGTTTGTGGTTTCTTGTTCATTTCGGTTTGGGTTAAACCGTAGACGTCACGTTATTGTTTATTGTTTTGATCGTGTGATCAGTAAAATAAAAGGATATGTTCACCTTCAACGCTGCGCATTGGTCCTCCTCCTTAGATGATCGTGACAAAATGAATTGAAAAGTTGTGTACGGCAGTAGTTATATGGGACTAGAATACAGTATATACATATCAAGTGGATAAAACAGTATGTAAACATGGTTAAAGTGACCAGTGTTCAATGACTCTGTACATAGGGCAGCAGTCTTTAAGTGCAGGGTAGAGTCCCGGGTGGTAGCCGGCTAGACCAGTGACTAAGGTTCAGGGAAGGGTACTGGGCGGAGGCCGAATAGTGGTGACTGTTTAAAAAAAACAATTGAGTCGATGGACTGGTGGGTCAATCTAGGTATCATAATAAAATAAATCCCCATCAAAATCCATCAGTTTAAGCTAGAGATGTTTTCTTTTGCATTGGATGCGTCTCAATCCACCGCATCCGCTTATGTCGCACTTTCGCATCTGTGGTGAAAGGTGGCAGAGCTAGAGCGGTGTTTGTCAGACCATGAGACATCCCGAAAATCGGTCTTCTCACGAAAACGAACCAATTAATATGACCCCACTGTGGAAAGGGGAGATTCTCACGAACACGATGGTGTCCTCTGTTTTGCTCTACGACCGCCACAAGTGTCCTCCCCCCCCAGCTTTGATGCACCTGTACTGTCTCCGCCTTCTAGATGGTTGCGGGGTAAACAGGCCATGGCTCGGGTGGCTGAGGTCCTTGATGATCTTCTTGTCCTTGATGATCTTCTTGTCCTGTGACACCGGGTGCTGTAGATGTCCTGGAGGGCAGGAAGTGTGCCGCTGGTGATGCGTTGGGCTAACCGTGCCACCCTCTGGAGAGCTCTGCGGACGGTGCAATTGTAGTACCAGCCGATAATACAGCCCGACAGGATGTTCTCAATGGTGCATCGGAAGACATTTGTGAGGGCCTTAGAGGCCAAGCTGAATTTCTTCAGCCTCCTTAGGGACATGACGGAATGCAGCTAATAACGGAACCGGCCTCCACCATAAAGAGCAGGTAATAAACTCTAAACCCAGTGCCCTGTTTGTTAGAGAAGAAAAGAGATGTCTTCTCCATTAGCGGCCATCTCAAGTTCATACAATCACAGTGGGAGATTGATTGATGAGCTCGACGGGGATGCCCATGTCTGGTGGCCTGACTGGTCTGTGGTCAGGGTTCACCAGCCAGACAGAGAGAGAGGTGGGGGGGTTAGGGTTAATCACTAAAGACCCTTGGCGAGCCGGAGTCCATTAAGACCAAGAGGAGAAGAGGACACAGTCAACCTAGTCTTGACATGAGCAGAAGAACATTGTAAACAATGTGTGGTCTTTTTGTAGTCTTATTGTTCCCCAGTGCTCACTTCCATTGGACAGGGCTTGGGCCTCTTTCTTACAGCACGGAGGGAATGTGGCAGTTACAATACAGTTCAGTTTCAATTAGCCTTTGTTTACTGGAAAGATATCTTCTCAGCACAAGGCTTCTATTGGTTGCTGAACATCGTCTTGAACCGTTTAGTGATACCCACTGCCAAGAGCAATATGAGATCAATTAGAAGTGTGTGTATCTTGGCTTGCCACGAGCTGTAAATTCGGTTCCCCTCACCACCTCCACTTTTGGTCTGCATCGACGCATGCTGTATAATTACACAAGATCCTTTGTTAAAACGATACACACTACCGGTCAAAAGTTTTAGAACACCTACTCATTCAAGGGTTTTTCTTTATCAGGGTCAGGCAGCCAGGGAACTACATTGTAGAATAATAGTGAAGACATCAAAACTATGAAATACCACATATGGAATCATGTAGTAACCAAAAATGTGTTAAACAAATCAAAATATATTTTATATTTGAGATTCTTCAAATAGCCACCCTTTGCCTTGATGACAGCTTTGCACACTCTTGGCATTCTCTCAACCAGCTTCACCTGGAATGCTTTTCCAACAGTCTTGAAGGAGTTCCCACATATGCTGAGCACTTGTTGGATGCTTTTCCTTCACTCTGTGGTCCGACTCATCCCAAACCATCTCAATTTGGTTGAGGTCAGGGGATTGTGGAGGCCAGGTCATCTGATGCAGCACTCCATCACTCTCCTTCTTGGTCAAATAGCCCTTACACAGCCTGGAGGTGTGTTGGGTCATTGTCCTGTTGAAAAACAAATGATAGTCCCACTAAGCCCAAACCAGATGGGATGGCGTATCGCTGCAGAATGCTGTGGTAGCCATGCTGGTTAAGTGTGCCTTGAATTCTAAATAAATCACAGACAGTGTCACCAGCAAAGCACCCCCACACCATAACACCTCCTCCTCCATGCTTTACGGTGGGAAATACACATGCAGAGATCATCCACTCACTCACACCGCGTCTCACAAAGACACAGCGGTTGGAACCAAAAATCTCAAATTTGGACTCCAGACCAAAGGACACATTTCCTCGGGTCTAATGTCCATTGCTTGTGTTTCTTGGCCCAAGCAAGTCTCTTCTTATTATTGGTGTCCTTTAGTAGTGGTTTCTTTGCAGCAATTCGACCATGAAGTCCCGTGTAGCTCAGTTGGTAGAGCATGGCGCTTGCAACGCCAGGGTTGTGGGTTCGTATAAAAATTTTAAATAAATGTATGCACTCACTAACTGTAAGTCGCTCTGGATAAGAGCGTCTGCTAAATGACTTAAATGTAAATGAAGGCCTGATTCACACAGTCTCCTCTGAACAGTTGATGTTGAGATGGGTATGTTACTTGAACTCTGTGAAGCATTTATTTGGGCTGCAATTTCTGAGGCTGGTAACTCTAATGAACTTATCCTCTGCAGCAGAGGTAACTCTGGGTCTTCCATTCCTGTGGCGGTCCTCATGAGAGCCAGTTTCATTGCGCTTGAAGAAACTTTCAAAGTTCTTGAAATGTTCTGTATTGACTGACCTTCATGTCTTAAAGTAATGATGGACTGTCATTTCTCTTTGCTTATTTGAGCTGATCTTGCCATAATATGGACTTGGTCTTTTACCAAATAGGGCTATCTTCTGTAATACCTTGTCACAACACAACTGATTGGCTCAAACGCATTAAGAAGGAAAGAAATTCCACAAATTAACTTTTAAGAAGGCACACCTGTTAATTGAAATGCATTCCAGGTGACTACCTAATGAAGCTGGTTGAGAGAATGCCAAGAGTGTGCAAAGCTGTCATCAAGGCAAAGGGTTGGCTATTTGAAGAATCTCAAATATAAAATATATTTGGATTTTTTAACACTTTTTTGGTTACTACATGATTCCATATGTGTTATTTCATAGTTTTGATGTCTTCACTATTATTCTACAATGTAGAAAATAGTAAAAATAAAGAAAAACCCTTGAATGAGTAGGTGTTCTAAAACTTTTGACCGGTATGGTACAAAGAAACAGAGTCTGATTAGTGATTTGGCTGGGGTTCTGAAGAGGGACATTTATATAATTTGATTTATAGGGGGTTAATACCAAATTCTCGATTGTAACGCTAAACCTCATAGTATAATGGGGCAGATTGGAATGACATAAGTCTGACTGTCACTGGAAGTCTTGATGCTGGTACCTTTAAAAATGTTATAGATGCTTTTCATGATACTGTAGTGACCCTCAGCGGGTAGGGTAGGCAGGCTGGCAGCACCAGTCATGTTAATTGTTTATGGGGTTGTCATGGTAATAGAAGAGTGAGTGGGGGAGGTTCGAAATAGGTTTGTGTGGATATAGCTATCTCTCGCTCTCTCTCTTGTGATTATCTCTCTGGGGAGATACCTCCCGCTGTACTGTGATTTATGTTTTGTGCACCTCCCCTTTACCCCGTGTAGTGTAACATTAAAACGCCTCTTAGCATTAACTGTATTTCCCTCTCTGTCCATTTGTTATTTAAGCTAGTAAAGTTATAGCTAAGATCGGGAAACCCATAAACACCAAAATACCTTGGTGGAAGTCTTGGTGGATGGTTCAGTGGAATGCTATTTGGTGTTTTTTGGGGTAAATTTTGTTCAAGGGCAGATTTGTCCTCTGGGCAGATTTGTGGATAACCCTGATTGAACCCTTCACTAATGTTTCCAGTTCCACTAAAGTTTCCTGAAAAGTGTAAATACCTGCACCCATGGTTGGGCAAAGATAGGCTGCATCAACATTGATCTTGTTACAAAATACTTAATAGGCTACCACAAAAACAGAAAAAGTAACTTTGCAAGTAAACATCTTGAGTTATAAAAACAAATCTCCATCAAAGTAGCCTATAAATAAAGAGTAATAAACATGTTATGAATTACATATGTGACCAACCAATCAAACCCTAGTGGTTTACTCTGCGCCTAAAGACCACATTAGCCCACTGAGCTTATGCCTATACCCCTAACCCTAGAGGATCTTTCAGGTCAGAGTTCTGAAAAGGTTTACCAGGCAAGGCTTCTTGCACATGGGCATTGATGCAGCGGGAAACGGGTTAAATCACGTGAGCGCATGTGTACTTGACTTGCCACTGAGGCCCATAAAAAAGTGTAATTTGAAGAAAGAGAACAAAGAAATAAGGGAGTATAAAATCCCCCTGCGAGACACCTCTCCGTCATTCACTGACTCCACTTCATCCCGCTCACATCCTCCGCCTTCTCTATCGCCAAGGTGTGCTCAAGCGCGGTCAAACTGCGAGTCCGCTCCGAATCAAAAGATGATGCCGTCTCTTTGGGTTTTCTGTAGCGTCTTTGCGTTGCACCTCTTGCTCTGCATTCATTCTCTGCCAGTACGGGAGGGGAGAGCCAGCAACAGGTACAAAGCGGCGGCGGTGAGTGACGATATAAATGCAGATGATGTGGAATTATTTTACATTTTGCAGAGCAAGGGCGTTTTATGAATCTAAGTTATGGAGAATGTGGGTCCAGACTAACTGTTTGTGTGTTATTCCTTTGAGAGAGAGAGAGAGGGGGAGACAGAGAGAGAGAGAGAGAGAGAGAGAGATCAGAAGAAAGAGAGAGAGTAGCCTACCCACTGGGCAAAAACGGGTTGAATCAACGTTGTTTCCATGTCATTTCAACAATAAAATGCAATGTGATGACGTTGATGTGGAAAACTGATTGGATTTGCAAAGGTCATTTTTTGACCAAACGTTTAACCTAAATTCAATGAATTTTTTTGTTGATTTCACATTTAATTCATGATAGTTGACAACTAAACCAAATGTAAATCAAAACTAGATGTTGAAATGATGTCTGTGCACACAGGGAGCACCGTTTACTTGTGGAAGAGTGTCTGTCCTAAATCAGTAAAGTTGTTGCACAATTTACAGGTAGCATGCCTGCAGAAAGTATTCATACCCCTAGACTTATTCCACATTTTGTTGTGTTAGCCTGAATTCGAAATGAAAAAGTGAAAACATGTTTTAGAAATGTTTGCACATTTATTGAAAATGAAATACAGAAATATCTCATTGATATAAGTATTCACACCCCTGAGTCAATACTTTGTAGAAGCACCTTTGGCAGTGATTACAGCTGTGAGTTTTTAAGTTTCTAAGAGCTTTCCACACCTGGATTGTGCAACATTTGCCCATTATTCTTTTCAAAATTCTTCAAGCTCTGTCAAATTGGTTATTGATCATTGCTAGGCAACCATTTTCAGGTCTTGCCATATGTTTTGAAGTAGATTTAAGTCAAAACTGTAACTTGGCCACTCATGAACATTCACTGTCTTTTTCCAGTGTAGATTTGGCCTTGTGCTTTAGGTTATTGTCCTGCTGAAAGGTGAATTCCTCTCCCAGTGTCTGGTGGAAAGCAGACTGAACCAGGTTTTCCTCTAGGATTTTGCCTGTGCTTAGCTCCATTCTGTTAATTTTTTATCCTGAAAAACTCCCAGTCCTTAACGATTACAAGCATACCCATAACATGATGCAGCCACTACTATGCTTGAAAATAATTAAATAAAAAATTGCTTTGCCACTTTTTTGCAGTATTACTTTAGTGCTTTGTTGTAAACAGGATGCATGTTTTGGAATATTTGTTATTCTGTTCAGGCTTCCTTCTTTTCACTTTGTCAATTAGGTTAGTATTGTTGAGTAACTACAATGTTCTTGATCCATCCTCAGTTTTCTCCTATCACAGCCATTAAACTCTGTAACTGTTTTAAAGTCACAATTGGCCTCATGGTGAAATCCCTGAACGGTTCCCTTCCTCTCCAGCAACTGAGTTAGGAAGGACACCTTTATACACCATCCAGAGTGTAATCAATGACTGCTTTTTTCATTTTTACCCATCTATCAATACGTGTCCTTCTTTGCGAGGCATTGGATCTTTGTTGGAAATTCACTGCTCAACTGAGGGGCCTTACAGATAATTGTATGTGTGGGGTACAAAGATGAGGTAGTCATTCAAAAATCATGTTAAACACTATTATTGCACACAGAGTCCATGCAACTTATTATGTGACTTGTTAAGCAAATTATCCAGAGCAACTTACAGGAGCAAATAGGATTAAGTGCCTTGCTCACGGGCACATAGACAGATTTTTCACCTAGTCGGTTCAGGGATTCGAACCAGTGAATTTTCAGTTACTGGCCAATGCGCTTAACCATTAGCCTAACTGCCGCCCCATTAATGCTTGATTTAGATATTTAGGAGAACATGTGTAATTTTCTCTAAAAGGTGTGTGTGTGTGTGGAAGAGAGAGAGTGTGTGTCTATGTGTGTGTGTGGGAGGCTGAGGGTGACAAGAGTGGAATATTGACAGATTGTATGCCATTGTATGAATACTTTAGGATGCAACCTATTTTCCCTATGATTTGTAAGACCTTGACAGCCCTCAATCTTTCCAGTTGGGTGGACAGACATGACAAAGGAGAAGCCCTACACATAACACTTGCCTCTTGGATACACATTTCAGATTGGCGCTGGGCTTTGTGCACAGTTGACGACAGCATCAAGTGGCTCTTTGCTGAGAGAGAGCTAACATAAGGACTCTGAGTTGTTTATATAGAAAGGGTGTGGGAGGGGTTTGGAATGCTTCAGACCATTAAGGTGAAAAATACTTATGTACTAGGGTCCGAACTCAAGTAAAAGTATCCATACACCGGATAGGTGCTGTGAAAGTGTTGTTTTACAAGGTCAGCCATAGGACACATCAACACATTTTTCACATTGACAGCTCGGGTATTCGAACCAGTAACCTTTTGGTTACTTGCCTAATGCTCCAACCACTAGGCAACCTGCCACCCTAGCTAGTGTGTGTCAGTGGTGCATGCAGTCAATTTGTTCCCTGCTGTTGACAAAGCGCGAGAGAGGGAGATTATGCAGGCTGAGGCAAGTAATCTGGCATCTGGTGCAGGATAACAAACCCCTCTTTCTGCTGACACAGGGAAAAGGGAAAGAACAAGATAGCTGCTGCGCTGAGAGAGCCGGCTCACCTCCGTCGGGTCTTCCTTTGTGCGTTCTTCTCTATCACAACTTCCCTTTGTGCTGTCAAAAAAGGCACCCCCAAAAGCATAATGCTGAGAGTGCAGTTGGTTGGAATCAAAGTGTCTGTCAATAGTATAGTCAGTAGGGATACAGTTAAGTTGTTTTCATGCAAATATGACCACCAAATATGAAGCGAGATTTGTGTTCAAGTTTTCCTTGCATACCATGCACGTACACTATATATACAAAAGTATGTGGAGACCCCTAGTGGATTCGGCTATTTAAGCCATACCCGTTGCTGACAGGTGTATAAAATCGAGCACACAGCCATGCAATCTCCATAGACAAACATTGGCAATAGAATGGCCTTACTGAAGAGCTCAGTGACTTTCAACATGGCACCGTCATAGGATGCCACCTTTCGAACAAGTCAGTTCGTAACATTTCTGCGCTTCTAGAGCTGCCCCGGTCAACTGTAAGTGCTGTTATTGTGAAGCGGAAACGTCTAGGAGCAACAATGGCTCAGCCGCGAAGTGGTAGGCCACACAAGCTCACAGAACGGGACCACCGAGTGCTGAAATACGTAAAAATTGTCTGTCCTCTCCCCAATTTTGTGATATCCAATTGTGATCCGATTACGATCTTGTCTCGTCGCTGCAACTCCCCAACGGCCTCGGGAGAGGCGAAGGTCGAGTCATGCGTCCTCCGAAACATGACCTGCCAAACCACGCTTCTTTACACCCGCCCGCTTAACCAGCCGCACCTATGTGTCGGAGGAAACACCATTCAACTGACGACCGAAGTCAGCCTGCAGGCGCCCGGCCCGCCACAAGGAGTCGCTAGAGTGCGATGAACCAAGTAAATCCCCCCCGGCCAAACCCTCCCCTAACCTAGACGACGCTGGGCCGACTCTATTCTCTGTGTATATCAATGATGTTGCTCTTGCTGCTGGTGACGCTCGGATCCACCGCTTTCCGGACGACACCATTTTGTATACATCTGGCCCTTCATTGGACACTGTGTTAACAAACCTCCAAACGAGCTTCAACGCCATACAACACTCCTTCCGTAGCCTCCAACTGCTCTTAAACACTAGTAAAACTAAATGCATGCTCTTCAACCGAACGCTGCTGGCACCCGCCCACCCGACTAGAATCACTACTCTCGGCGGGTCTGACCTAGAGTATGTGGACAACTACAAATACCTAGGTGTCTGGTTAGACTGTTAACTCTCCTTCCAGACTCACATTAAGCATCTCCAATCAAAAGTTAGATCTAGAATCGGGTTCCTATTTCGCAACAAAGCCAGCCTCCTTCACTCATGCTGCCAAACATGCCCTCGTAAAACTGACTATCCTACTGATCCTTGACTTCGGCGATGTCATTTACAAAATAGCCTCCAACACTCTACTCAGCAAATTGGATGTAGTCTATCACAGTGCCATCCGTTTTGTCACCAAAGTCCCATATACTACCCACCATTGTGACCTGTACGCTCTTGTTGGCTGGCCCTCACTACATATTCGTCGCCAAACCCACTGGCTCCAGGTCATCTATAAATCACAGCTAGGCAAATCCCTGTCTTATCTTAGCTCACTCATCACCATAGCAACACCCACCCGTAGTCTGCGCTCCAGAAGGTATATCTCACTGGTCATCCCCAAAGCCAACACCTTCTTTGGCCGCCATTCCTTCCAGTTCTCTGCTGCCAATGACTGGAACGAACTGCAAAAATCTCTGAAGCTGGAGACTCTTATCTCCCTCACTAACTTTAAGCATCAGTTGTCAGAGCATCTTACCGATCACTGCACCTGTACACAGCCCATCTGTAATTAGCACATCCAACTACCTCATCCCCATATTGTTCTTTATTTTGCTAATTTGCACCCCAGTATCTCTATTTGCACATCATCTTTTGCACATCTATCATTCCAGTGTTAATGCGAAATTGTAACTATTTTGCACTATGGCCTATTTATTGCCTTACCTCCATAATTTACTACATTCGCACACACTGTATATATATTTTCTGTTGTATTTTTGACTTTATGTTTTGTTTACCCCATATGTAACTCTGTGTTGATGTTTTTATCGCACTGCTTTGCTTTATCTTGGCCAGGTCGCAGTTGTAAATGAGAACTTGTTCTCAACTGGCTTACCTGGTTAAATAAAGGTGAAAAAAAAAAAAGATATATAAAACAAATTGTGCGCCACCCTATGTGACTCCCGGTCACAGCCAGTTGTGACACAGCCTGGGATCAAACCTGGGTCTGTAGTGACGCGTCAAGCACTGCGATGCAGTGGCTTAGACCGCCGCGCCACTTGGGAGGCCCTAGCACAATAATTGTTAGTCGGGAGCTTCATGAAATGGGTTTCCATGGCCGAGCAGCCGCACACAAGCCTAAGATCACAATGCGCATTGCCAAGCGTCGGCTGGAGTGGTGTAAAGCTCGCCGCCATTGGACTCTGGAGCAGTGGAAATGGGTTCTCTTAAGTGATGAATCATGCTTCACCATCTGGCAGTCCGACAGACGAATCTGGGTTTGGCGGATGCCAGGAGAACGCTACCTGCCCGAATGCATAGTGTCAACTGTAAAGTTTGGTGGAGGAGGAATAATGGTCTGGGGCTGTTTTTCATGGTTCGGGCTAGGACCCTTAGTTCCAGTGAAGGGAAATCTTAACGCTACAGCATACAATGACATTCTAGACGATTCTGTGCTTCCAACTTTGTGGCAACAGTTTGGGGAAGGCCCTTTCCTGTTTCAGCATGACAATGCCCCCGTGCACAAAGCGAGGTCCATAAAGAAATGGTTTGTCGAGATCAGTGTGGAAGAACCTGACTGGCCTGCACAGAGCCCTGACCTCAACCCCATCGAACACCTTTGGGATGAATTGGAACGCCGACTGTGAGCCAGGCCTAATCGCCCAACATCAGGGACTGACCTCACTAATGCTCTTGTGGCTGAATGGAAGCTAGTCCCCGCAGCAATGTTCCAACATCTAGTGGAAAGCCTTCCCAGAAGAGTGGAGGCTGTTATAGCAGCAAAGGGAGACCAACTCAATATTAATGCCCATGGTTTTGGAATGATATGTTCGACGAGCAGGTGTCCACATACTTTTGGTATGATTTTGACTGAATGATAAACAGACAAAGGTTACCATGGCAAAGCATAGATTAACATTCAGAGGGCAGTCACAGACATATGTCTAAAGGGGAGCAGGCCGATGCTCCTTAAAAACCTGTCAATTGAGAAAGAACTATGGTTGAAAGCAATGCTGGCAGCTCCGCTTTGAGAGACGCTACTGAGCATTATCTAGTGATATCTGAACATGTAGATGTTTGTGTAGATACTGTAATTTAAGCTCAAGAGGTGCTGTACTGGAGCTTGGCAAGTCTACATTCTTATCCCATCATTTTTCAGAGATAAGAGATCTCCATATTTCAATAGACTTAGAGAGATTCTGAACCGTAAAGATTGAGACACTTCATGATATACTTACACGTAGTTTACAATTCAAGCCATTGGAAGTACTTAAGTCAAGGTTCCAAAATGGGTCTGTTGGAGTTGTCTGACGTAGTGTGGCAACATAAACAGAACTGTGAGTTTACCAGAGAGCTCTTAAAATATTCCCTAAAGTTGTTAGAACGTTCACTCATGAGATGAATCTACACTACAGAATTTGTTTCGAAACCTTTTTGTATTTAATTCTTTCATTGTTTCCTTTGAGACACACAGACTCTAGTGAGCCAGAACCCAATGTCTAACTGGGAAACATTGATTTGACAATTTGAGGAATCTCTTCACCCCAAGTGAAAACTGCCATCTAAATACTTTTCCTTAGCAGCGATCTTTGGAGTGGCAACCAATTCATTCTTCGCTAACAAAGCAACTTAGATACACCACTGTCAATGCCTCATTATATCTCTCATCTCCCATCATCTTAATCCTCATCCTTTTCCTGCCAAACCATTTCTCCACTCAGTATAATCACTTCGTTTGTGTGTACAACCTCTCAAGGCATGCAGAATGCAGATCTCTGGGGCTCGTTGTGTATAAATATTTATCCTAGATGGATTTCTTCCAGCATACACATTCTTTATCTTTATGTCCTACTTGTTATCTGCCAAAGGATGTCTGAGTTAGTGGGGATAGCGCTTATCAAATATAGACTTTTTCCACATTTTGTTATGTTACAGCCTTATTCTAAAATTGATTAAATTGTTTTTTTCCCTCATCAATCTACACACAATACCCCATAATGACAAAGCAAAAACAGGTTTTTAGAAATGCTTGCAAATAAAACGGAAATATTACATTTACATAAGTATTCAGACCCTTTACTCAGTACTTTGTTGAAGCACCTTTGGCAGCGATTACAGCCTTGAGTCTTCTTGGGTATGACGCTACAAGCTTGTCACACCGGTATTTGGGGAGTTTCTCCCATTCTTCTCTGCAGATCCTCTCAAGCTCTGTCAGGTTGGATGGGGAGCATTGCTGCACAGCTATTTTCATGTCTCTCAAGAGATGTTCGATCGGGTTCAAGTCTGGGCTCTGGCTGGGCCACTCAAGGACATTCAGAGACTTGCCCCGAAGCCACTCCTGTGTTGACTTGGCTGTGTGCTTAGGGTCGTTGTCCTGTTGGAAGGTGAACCTTCGCCCCAGTCTGAGGTCCTGAGCTCTCTGGAGCAGGTTTTCATCAAGGGTCTCTCTGTACTTTGCTCCGTTCATCTTTCCCTCGATCCTGACTAGTCTCCCAGTCCCTGCCGTTGAAAAACATCCCCACAGCATAATGCCGCCTCCACCATGCTTCACCGTAGGGATGGTGGCAGGTTTCCTCCAGACGTGACGCTTGGCATTCAGGACAAAGAGTTCAATCTTGGTTTCATCAGACCAGAGGATCTTGTTTATCATGGTCTGAGAGTCTTTAGGTGCCTTTTGACAAACTCCAAGCGGGCTGTCATGTGCCTTTTATTGAGGAGTGGCTTCCGTCTGGCCACTCTACCATAAAGGCCTGACTGGTGGAGTGCTGTAGAGATGGTTGTCCTTCTGGAAGGTTCTCCCATCTCCACAGAGGAACTTTAGAGCTCTTTCAGAGTGACTATCGGGTTCTTGATCACATCCCAGACCAAGGCCCTTCTCCCCTGATTGCTCAGTTTGGCCGGGCGGCAGGCTCTAGGAAGAGTCTTGGTGGTTCCAAACTTATTCCATTTAAGAATGATGGAGGCCACTGTGTTCTTGGGGACCTTCAATGCTGCAGACATTTTTTGGTACCCTTCCCCAGATCTGTGCCTCACCACAATCCTGTCCTCGGAGCTCTACGGACAATTCCTTTCGACCTCATGGCTTGGTTTTAGCTCTGACATGCACTGTCAACTATGGGACCTTATATAGACAGGTGTGTGCCTTTCCAAATCATGTCCAATCAATCTAACTTACCACAGGTGGACTCCAATCAAGTTGTAGCAACATCTCAAGGATGATCAATGGAAACAGGATGCACCTGAGCTCAATTTCGAGTCTCATAGCAAAGGGTCTGAATACTTATGTAAATAAGGTATTTCCGGTTTTTATTTTTAATAAATTAGCAAACATTTCTAAAAACCTGTTTTCGCTTTGACGTTATGGGGTATTGTGTGTAGATTGCTGAGGATTATATAAAAAAAAATCCATTTTAGAATAAGGCTGTAACGTAACAAAATGTGGAAAAAGTCAAGGGATCTGAATACTTTCTGAAGGCACTGTACATATACTGTGTGCAGTATGTGCTCAGTATGTGGGAGGAAAGTAAATGTTGCGCCTTCTTCCTGTTTCATGCGTGGATTTGGATGGAAGCCACAAAGGGTGCATTGAAAAGTCTGAGGACCTCAGCGGTAGCCTTTCTTCTTCTAAGGAAGAAAGGCTACCTTCTAATCAGGGGTGAAAGTATAATTAAAATGTGCACACGCTTGCACCCAAAATAATAATGGGCCTAATCATAGAATTACATATAGAATCCCTATTAATTCAATAGCATCTCTGTGGGCCAAGTGGTAAAGATTAGTCATTTAACTTTTAAAATGTATTGTGGCATAACACAGGCTGTCACTTCAAAGGGCTCCTTTACTAGGCAACCTGCAGATGTTCATCCACTCGCAACATATTTCCAGCCTCCAAACAGTGGTGAATGGAAAGAGGCATCTGTTACACAAAACAGCCAAAAGTGTAATGACATTTGCCGATTGTCATTAGGCCAGAATTTATGCGTCCACTGCTATCCGCGCGCGTCTCAGTGTCGGCCACATTTTTCATGTCACTGACCGGTACAGCGTACCCCCATGATATATTTTGCCGGGATGCCGGGATGCCGTACCAGACCGTACCGCCTTACTTTCACCCCCTGGTTCTAATCTACAGTAAAACAATCTCCAGCGGTTAAAGTAATAGCAATCCTTAAATTTCAATTAGAGCCCGACCGATATATCGTTAGATAATTCCAGCGAAAGCCGATATTCAATAAATGGGATGAAAAAAGGGAATCTCTTATCTGAACACTTGCGACCATTCTCATGATATGTCATTATTGTCACAATTTAAGAAATCAACAATTGAAGCATATTTCTTGGAAAATTGCTCTTTTGGATGGCAAATTATGAGAACTCAGTGTGGAAAAATAACACTTTTCCTTCACTCATCCCAAACCTTCTGAATTGGGTTGAGGTCGGATGATTGTGGAGGCCAGGTCATCTGATGCAGCACTCCTTCACTCTCCTTGGTCAAATAGCCCTTACACAGCCTGGAGGTGTCCTGTTGAAAAACAAATGATAGTCCCACTAAGCCCAAACCAGATGGGATGGGGTATCGCTGCAGAATGCTGTGGTAGCCATGCTGGTTAAGTGTGCCTTGAATTCTAAATAAATCACAGACAGTGTCACCAGCAAAGCACCCCCACAGCATCACACCTCCTCCTCCATGCTTCACGGTGGGAACCACACATGCAGAGATCATCCGTTCACCTACTCTGCGTCTCACAAAGACACGGCGGTTGGAACCAAAAAATCTTAAATTTGGACTCATCAAACCAAAGGACAGATTTCCACCGGTCTAATGTCCATTGCTCGTGTTTCTCGGACCAAGCAAGTCTCTTATTGGTGTCCTTTAGTAGTGGTTTCTTTGCAGCAATTCGACCATGAAGGCCTGATTCACGCAGACTCCTCTGAACAGTTGATGTTGAGATGTGTCTGTTACTTGAACTCAGTGAAGCATTTATTTGGGCTGCAATCTGAGGTGCAGTTAACTCTAATGAACTTATCCTCTGCAGCAGAGGTAACTCTGGGTCTTCCTTTCCTGTGGCGGTCCTTTCAAAGTTCTTGAATTTTTCCGGATTGACTGACCTTCATGTCTTAAAGTAATGATGGACTGTCATTTCTCTTTGCTTATTTGAGCTGTTCTTGCCATAATATGGACTTGGTCTTTTACCAAATAGGGCTATCTTCTGTATACCTCCCTACATTGTCACATCACAACTGATTGGCTCAAAAGCATTAAGAAAGAAAGAAATTCCACAAATTAACTTTTAACAAGGCACACCTGTTAATTGAAATGCATTCCAGGTGACTACCTCATGAAGCTGGTTGAGAGAATGCCAAGAGTGTGCGAAGCTGTCATCAAGGCAAAGGGTGGCTACTTTGTTTAACACTTTTTTGGTTACTACATGATTCCATATGTGCTATTTCATAGGTTTGATGTCTTTACTATAATTCTACAATGTAGAAAATAGTAAAAAATAAATAAAAACCCTTGAATGAGTAGGTGTGTCCAAACTTTTGACTGGTACTTTATATCGGCAGAGATATCATTCACTACAGCTGTGTGTTTGGGGTATGAGGGAGGGATTGGGGGTGGGTAAGGTGGCGGTTTTAAGTGAATGAATGACATAGACAAAAGCCCCTTTATAGCAACAGACGCCACCGGGGAGATTACCCCCCAGAGCCATGGTTTATAGCAACAGACGCCACCGGGGAGATTACCCCCCAGAGCCATGGTTTATAGCAACAGACGCCACCGGGGAGATTACCCCCCAGAGCCATGGTTTATAGCAACAGACGCCACCGGGGAGATTACCCCCCAGAGCCATGGTTTATAGCAACAGACGCCACCGGGGAGATTACCCCCCCAGAGCCATGGTTTATAGCAACAGACGCCACCGGGGAGATTACCCCCCAGAGCCATGGTTTATAGCAACAGACGCCACCGGGGAGATTACCCCCCAGAGCCATGGTTTATAGCAACAGACGCCACCGGGGAGATTACCCCCCAGAGCCATGGTTTATAGCAACAGACGCCACCGGGGAGATTACCCCCCAGAGCCATGGTTTATAGCAACAGACGCCACCGGGGAGATTACCCCCCAGAGCCATGGTTTATAGCAACAGACGCCACCGGGGAGATTACCCCCCAGAGCCATGGTCTGTAGCAACAGACGCCACCGGGGAGATTACCCCCCAGAGCCATGGTTTGTAGCAACAGACGCCACCGGGGAGATTACCCCCCAGAGCCATGGTTTATAGCAACAGACGCCACCGGGGAGATTACATTTACATTACATTTTAGTCATTTAGCAGACGCTCTTATCCAGAGCGACTTACAGGAGCAATTAGGGTTAAGTGCCTTGCTCAAGGGCACATTAACGTCATTTAGCAGACGCTCTTAGCCAGAGCGACTCACAAATTGGTGCGTTCACCCTATAGCCAGTGGGATAACCACTTTACAATTTGGGGGGGGGGGGGGGGGGTTAGAAGGAATACTTTATCCTATCCCAGGTATTCCTTAAAGAGGTGGGGTTTCAAATGTCTCCGGAAGGTGGTGAGTGACTCCGCTGTCCTGGCGTCGTGAGGGAGCTTGTTCCACCATTGGGGTGCCAGAGCAGCGAACAGTTTTGACTGGGCTGAGCGGGAGCTATGCTTCCGCAGAGGAAGGGGAGCCAGCAGGCCAGAGGTGGATGAACGCAATGCCCTCGTTTGGGTGTAGGGACTGATCAGAGCCTGAAGGTACAGAGGTGCCGTTCCCCTCACTGCTCCATAGGCAAGCACCATGGTCTTGTAGCGGATGCGAGCTTCAACTGGAAGCCAGTGGAGTGTGCGGAGGAGGGGGGTGACGTGAGAGAACTTGGGAAGGTTGAACACCAGACGGGCTGCGGCATTCTGGATGAGTTGTAGGGGTTTAATGGCACAGGCAGGGAGGCCAGCCAACAGCGAGTTGCAGTAGTCCAGACGGGAGATGACAAGTGCCTGGACCAGGACCTGCGCCGCTTCCTGTGTAAGGAAGAGATTGCACTCTCCGAATGTTGTAGAGCATGAACCTGCAGGAGCGGGTCACCGCCTTGATGTTGGCGGAGAACGACAGGGTGTTGTCCAGGGTCACGCCTAGGCTCTTCGCACTCTGGGAGGAGGACACAGCGGAGTTGTCAACCGTGATGGCGAGATCATGGAACGGGCAGTCCTTCCCCGGGAGGAAGAGCAGCTCCGTCTTGCCAGGGTTCAGCTTGAGGTGGTGATCCGTCATCCATACTGATATGTCTGCCAGACATGCAGAGATGCGATTCGCCACCTGGTTATCAGAAGGGGGAAAGGAGAAGATTAGTTGTGTATCGTCAGCGTAGCAATGATAGGAAAGGCCATGTGAGGATATGACAGAGCCAAGTGACTTGGTGTATAGGGAGAAAAGGAGAGGGCCTAGAACCGAGCCCTGGGGGACACCAGTGGTGAGAGCACGTGGTGCGGAGACAGCTTCCCGCCACGCCACTTGGTAGGAGCGACCGGTCAGGTAGGACGCAATCCAGGAGTGAGCCGCGCCGGAGATGCCCAGCTCGGAGAGGGTGGAGAGGAGGATCTGATGGTTCACAGTATCAAAGGCAGCAGACAGGTCTAGAAGGACAAGAGCAGAGGAGAGAGAGTTAGCTTTAGCAGTGCGGAGAGTCTCCGTGACACAGAGAAGAGCAGTCTCAGTTGAATGACCGTCCTGAAACCTGATTGGTTTGGATCAAGAAGGTCATTCTGAGAGAGATAGCAAGAGAGTTGGCTAAAGACGGCACGCTCAATAGTTTTGGAAAGAGCCATGGTTTATAGCAACAGACGCCACCGGGGAGATTACCCCCCAGAGCCATGGTTTATAGAAACAGGACGCCACCGGGGAGATTACCCCCCAGAGCCATGGTTTATAGCAACAGACGCCACCGGGGAGATTACCCCCCAGAGCCATGGTTTATAGCAACAGACGCCACCGGGGAGATTACCCCCCAGAGCCATGGTTTATAGCAACAGACGCCACCGGGGAGATTACCCCCCAGAGCCATGGTTTATAGCAACAGACGCCACCGGGGAGATTACCCCCCAGAGCCATGGTCTGTAGGTGGGCACATTTTGTTGTCATGTTTCACAGTAAGCTGGGGTTTGCCAAGGTGAGCAAGACACAGCTATCCAGAATTGTCCTGTAGGGACATGTCTGCTCTCTTTTCCTGGGTTTTCCCCAGTTTCCATCTGACAGACTGCGGTTCTGTGTTTTTCGACCTCATTGGCTCTTTAAGCCTGTTGTTGAAATGCAACCCAACATCCACCACCACATGCTTGACTAAAACCAGTCACTTATTCAGTTATATTGGACTACTGTTGATGCCAATGAGTTCAGCTGAGCTCATCAACTAATCTGTGTGCAGTATGATGTGGTGTTGCCCAGGGTTGGGCTTTATTCCATCTCAACTCAATTCATGTAAGAAATACATGTGCATACAAATCATGAATGGGGAAAAACGTGGAGCCATCTAGGGTTATGTCAAGTGTTGAGTCTAGACATGATGATGCAAGAACAGATCACTGACCAGTGACCACCATCCTACTACAACAAAAAGTTACCACAGGCTACAAATCTGAGTTGAGTATAAAATCACAGAAATACCTTCATTCAAATCTAAAATGTTTGTGTAAAAGTATAGCTCCCTGAATATGTGAAATATTTACCTTTAGAGGTTCAGAGTAAACTAAGTTTTCCAAATGGAGGGTTGGGACCTATTGGTTGGTCGCAGCAAAAGCCTTCTTGGCTGCGGCACAAAGTTGGGATCCTGGCTAGAAATTTGTATTTTATTTTATTTTATTTCACCTTTATTTAACCAGGTAAGCCAGTTGAGAACAAGTTCTCATTTACAACTGCGACCTGGCCAAGATAAAGCAAAGCAGTGCGATAAAAACAACAACACAGAGTTACATATGGGGTAAAACAAAACATAAAGTCAAAAATACAACAGAAAATATATATACAGTGTGTGCAAATGTAGCAAGTTATGGAGGTAAGGCAATAAATAGGCTATAGTGCAAAATAATTACAATTAGTATTAACACTGGAATGATAGATGTGCAAGAGATGATGTGCAAATAGAGATACTGGGGTGCAAATGAGCAAAATAAATAACAATATGGGGATGAGGTAGTTGGGTGGGCTAATTTCAGATGGGCTGTGTACAGGTGCAGTGATCGGTAAGGTGCTCTGACAACTGATGCTTAAAGTTAGTGAGGGAGATAAGAGTCTCCAGCTTCAGAGATTTTTGCAATTCGTTCCAGTCATTGGCAGCAGAGAACTGGAAGGAAGGGCGGCCAAAGGAGGTGTTGGCTTTGGGGATGACCAGTGAGATATACCTGCTGGAGCGCATACTACGGGTGGGTGTTGCTATGGTGACCAATGCGCTAAGATAAGGCGGGGATTTGCCTAGCAGTGATTTATAGATTGCCTGGAGCCAGTGGGTTTGGCGACTAATATGTAGTGAGGAGCAGCCAACAAGAGCGTACAGGTCACAGTGGTGGGTAGTATATGGGCTTTGGTGACAAAACGGATGGCACTGTGATAGACTACATCCAATTTGCTGAGTAGAGTGTTGGAGGCTATTTTGTAAATGACATCGCCGAAGTCAAGGATCGGTAGGATAGTCAGTTTTACGAGGGCATGTTTGGCAGCATGAGTGAAGGAGGCTTTGTGGCCCTGTGGCACCCCCATAGAGACTGCCATAGGTCCAGACAGCAGGCCCTCCGATTTGACACATTGAACTCTATCTGAGAAGTAGTTGGTGAACCAGACGAGGCAGTCATTTGAGAAACCAAGGCTATATAGTCTGCCAATAAGAATGCGGTGGTTGACAGAGTCGAAATGTGGTATTGTTAATGTTTAGTGAAGGAAAGTAAAGTAAGAAGTAAAGTCATTAGGCTATAGTTGGGTGATGTCTCCAAAACGTTCTCATATCTCAGGCTATCACAGACCAAAACATTGCTATCAGGTGATAAATACATCTGTTGTAAATCTGCCAGCGGTCCCAGCGGCATACAAGGCTTCACATAGAATGGGGCAGTCCTCAGTTTTTATGGGGCAGACCTGGAGCTGTCCCATTGTGACAGATGTGCAGGGAAAACACATTTAGTTTGGCTTTCTCTCCTGCACAACTACTATGTTGTTCTCCAGTGTCTTAATCAGCAGAGGCCTGTAAATGTAGGCTATTGTCTGCAAATCTGAACAATGACTTATTGGGCCTTTCTTTGAAACTCACATCCAACTAAGAAAATCAAACCCATGCACCTCTCCCTCACATAAGGATGACATCTGATCCAATGTCACATGTTTCTAATAAGCATGGAACTCCTAACTCCCATTGGAGCGTTTGTCTTTTAAAAACATATTTCAAAGCTTTTGATGGTCCTGAGTTATGAGTAATTAATTCCTCTGTGTGTGATTGTTATGAGCATACTGAATAGCTGACAATATGCTGGAGGGCAGTTTTCTTCTCAATAGGTTTGGCCAAGTCTCACAAAGACGCTATTTTGGCTCTGCTGGTGAGTGGTTATTCTCACCGTAGTTAGCGTTTTTTCATCATGAATGTTGTTCTGGAGGCAGCTCTGCAGAGTGGTCACTAGCTGGCACAGCCACAATATCATAAAATATGATTTTAAACCTAACCTTAACCACATTGCTAACCCTAATGCCTAACCCTAACCTTAAATTAAGACCAAAAAGCTATTTTTGTTTTCATACATTATTACAATATAGACAATTTTGACTTGACAGCTGGCCTATCGAAGGGGAAATCGCTCAGTTCTGCCTCCAGGACAAGACTCATGATAAACGTCAACCTGCGTTCTGCTTGGAGACTTTTTTGGCTAAAGTTCATTACATCAGCTGAACCCCAAAAGATCTGAACTAACTGTCTTGCCCAAAAAATATAGGTGGTCTATTAAATAGTATTATGAAAGTTTATTTTTTAAATATTGGATGAAAAGTGAGCACCTGCCCTTGAATGTTTTTGAAGTTGCTTGCTCTTGCAGCATTCTTCAACACAGTATCTGCACTTTGATATTAGAGTAGCAACGTCAAAACCCTTGGCTGAACACAGTGTGCAACATCCTAAATTGTCTGAAAGTCCGAAAATGGTGGTGGAAAACTGTATTTTATTAAGACATTACACATATTTTTCCAGTTTTTTAAAGGTAGTTAAGGAGGGAAATTATGCCTTTGCAGCCTGAATGGTGGATGCTTTATGTACGAGCCGGTCCACGGGGGACACGAGTGTATTAACGGCTGGGCACATCAATTCTAGATGATAACGCAGATCTAGCGCCCACTATCAGCTGCCTAGGCTACTTACTAATCAAATTGGGGTTTCTTCCATACATCAAGGTCAGTGTCATTGTGATCAAAAACATATTTTAAGATAGACATGGGATGAAATCGAATGGCTACAGAATTTACAGAATAACTTGGAGATAGGAGGGAAAGCTTTCTCATTCAATGGCTGAAAAGCAGAAGGGTACCTGGTTACCTATTATGTTAGATCGTACAACTGATAGACCTAAATGGGATTCCTCTCTTAATGTCCATCTGCAAGGTTTGAGCAAGGAAGTTAGCGTGTACTAGGACCTGATCACAACATCCAAGTCTTAAAAGCCTTTGCGAAAATGCACCACTGCATCAAAGCCTCTCATGTTAGACTTTTAATGGCCGTTTAAAAATAGCGTGTTCACAAATTACAGCTTTTAAAAGGTACCCTCGGGCTGTCGGATGCAGAAGCATTTTTAAGACCGTTAAAACAAGAAAGAAACTACAATTCACCCTATTTCACCTCTACAACCGTCATCCCTCCCATAGAAAAAAGCCAGAGAAGGAAATGTTTCCAAGCCTTCACAGCTGCTTTTTAGGAAACCAGTAAACTGTAATAAAGCGAAGCCAAAGATAGAGCAAGGATAAAGTGGTGAGAGGGTTCAGCCCTCCAACCCCTCCCTGTCCTCCACCCAATCAACTCTCCACCCAGTCAATTAACAGACCAATTCCCTCTAAATTCTCTGGAGGAAATTGGACTAATAACCCCTTGTTGATTTATCTGGGTCCCGGAAACCCAGCTCCTTCTGAGGTTCTCTGTCAGAACGTTACAGTAATGTACCATGCCGCCATTTCCTGTGATGACAATGTCTTGCGATGCAGCTATCTAAAAACATTAATTCAATTTTCTGTTTGATTTAGTTTAATGTAATTTGATTCACTGGACTGCATTTGTAGCCTTTGCGATTTTGTCAAAACATTTACATTCTTTGAACGGTACTTAGTTGCACATACCTCTGTTCACAGGGATGGCCTCAGAAGACCCACCCATATGGCCTGAAGAAGAGGGCAAGGTTTGGCCATACTCAGGACACTCTGAAGGAACCATTGCACCCCTCGGAAGGTGTCTATCCAGAGACTGTGTTGCCATGGAATGGCACAGAGTTGGTCTGGAACCGGCCTCGCTGCGGTGTTCCAGACTATCCTACTCAGAAAGGTGGCATCTCGGACTACCACATGCAGAAGGGGGGCACCTTTGGAGGAAAGCAGCGGCGGAAGCGCTTCGTTCTCTTTGGGGGGCGCTGGGACAAGACTGACCTCACCTACAAGTAAGGTTATTGTTCTTTGGTCGCTCTAGACATATCCATGCGTTGCTTTTTCACTGGGGTCTGCTTTTCCTGAGTTTTCTCAGGATTTTTTTTATACATGGTGCACAAATTCAAGAGGTTATCACTGATGTCTGTAGTTTAGCCAGCAGGGACAGAGACACAAAGGCAACCCCTGTCATGGTAAACTGGTTCACTTATACAGTACACTGGCTGCTACTGGCTGACAAAGGCCACTACATTGTTCTGAATGAAATGCGGGTTATGTGTACATCATATGTATCACACTGGTCCCCAACCCAGCACCCCAGCTTATTTTATATGCTCAAAATCAAGACTAATTTGGGTTAGGCCACCTGAAGCCAAAACTTCTAAAGAGACACATTTCAGTGATGGATAATTTACTTTGTTGTAGACTTGCAACTGCTGCCTAAGGATAGGCTGCCCAGTCAGTCTATGTAGATGTGAATTCAGTGTTTGGCTGAGTTCATGTTTTTGATACAATTTCAAACCAGACATGGCAGAAAACTAGGAGGCACTACTTCAATTTACTTTGGGATTTCTTTGCCTTTGAAGCACCTTTTGATTGACATGGTGACCTTGTGCCCTCGGGGTCGCCTGCACTCCTCCCTGTGTTTGGACTGCCTCGCCTCCTCCATTAACTCCATTAAAGTCAAAAGACCGCTACACCGGACATTTGCCACCCAGCCCCTCTGTCATTTGGAGTCGGGTGGGGTCGCGACCTGAAAAAACACAGCCATTTACAAGACAGTGTCAGCGCACTCAAGCATGTTACAGCAGAGCAGCTCACATGCTTCCTGGTGTCTTCACATACAGCTCAGCAGGAAGGGGACTGAGAGGGGAAAGGTCAAGCTAATAGTTACTTCCAGGGGAGTGTTATCAGTAGAGCAACACTGAGTCTTTGTCATGGAAAGCAATTTCCTTTTCAGCACGACAGTAAGTGTCACTCGTGATTTTTCTTTTTGAGATGATGTAGAAACATAAAAGAGAGACATTAAAGGAGAAATCCACTCAAAAACAATATTTTGGTATTTTTTTCATTAATCCACTGTTGATACAGTACCAAAACATTTTGCATGTCAGCAGTCAAGTTTTCAAGATATAGGATTTTGTCACGTGCCACATAAGCCATTGGGCCCGCCCTGCAACGTCATTGGATAACGCTGGGCAGGCCTCTTGCTAGCTGTCAATCAACTTGCTAGGGGGCTGGACCATGTGGGGGTAAAATGTAGGGAACATGGTGCGGCACAGCTTAAAAAAAACAGTTGCTTTCAAACTAGGGATTTTGTGGCTAATTTAGGTAAAACAGTAATTCTGCTCATAGATAATGCATGTATGAACTATACATTGACACATCCAGCCAAAAGCAGGATGTTTAAAAAATACTCTCTTAGTCGCCAAAGTGCCGGAGCATGACTTTAACAGTGGACTAATGAAAAAAATACAGAAATATAGTTTTTGAGTGGATTTTTTCTTTAACGGCGTAGAATTTGTATATTATGTTGTATGAATAGTGAGCTTCTGTTTTAATGTGAAAAATGCCATATGTATTGATCAAGCATAAAAATGCTGTGTATGATCAACTACCTTTCCCCAAACAAACACCAATAGATTGCATCATACAGTAAGTCATCATTACTCATGATCCCTTTGAGGTAGCCACTTATTCAGTGTCCCTAAATATAGCTTCATGGTCATTTCACTGAACCTCCGTGCCCTGCACTCCCTCTCACACACAATCATTTCTGTACACACAGCTTTTCAAGAAATAAACTAATAATTGTACGATTGTACAGGACAGTAGGGGTGTGTACTGTACTCTGCTGGCTCATCACATTTTAACCTCAGGAGACACACAACAGCACAGAGCGGGACCTGCCTCTTTTGGCCCGCGAGCCAGCAATCAGCACTGTTGTCCCCGCTCTGGTTCCAGAGTGGCTGTGGTGAGGGGGGTCATTACCAGGCCAGCGTTTTGCTGTCTCCTCTGTGATGACTAATAATAACGGGCCGTAGCATTAGCAACACAGTGACTGTTCCACATTCTGGAACTGAACTCCCAGGACACAGATTTAATGGGTGTCTGCTGCAGCCGCGGGGGCCCTGGTTGGAATCGGGCCCCGGCATGCATCACTGTGGCAGGGTTAGGGAGGTTGTTGAGGTAGAGTGGGGTTATACAGCAACAGCACAAGGCTGGCCTCTCCTGTCTGGGCATGTATGTAGGGCCTCCACACAATCAAATCAAATCAAATTTAATTTGTCATGTGCTGAAGACAACAGTAGTAGACCATACCGTGAAATGCTTACTTGAGCACAATCCATTTCTACAACCCCCCCATTCATTATGAAATCTAAAATGAAGAATGAAAGTGATAGCTGCCATGGCTGGTATCCAGGGAGGCACTAGGGGAAATCTCTGCAGGGCAGTGGGGGTAACAGATTGCAACAGAAAGCGGGGGTGAATGATTGTACTGGCGCCCACTGAGAAACCCATAATATGAAACACGAGACGGACATTGAGACTGAACATGTCACGGTTCTTTAAATGTCCTCCATGGGGTGTCGCCTGGTAATAACGAGCGCTGCCCTTTCTGTCTGTCAACACCTGTCATAATAATGCAGGTCCTACTGGTTGGACGGACGCACACACAACCTCTGTCAACTCAGCATTCAGCCTTGCTGCATGGTAATCCACAACAACTGTGAACAAGTGAAAGTTATGTTTGTATGTACTGCACATTACCTATGCCTCGTATGAATCCAAATACATCAAATCAAATGTTATTTGTCACATGCACCAAATACAACAGGTGTAGCCTTTACAGTGAAATGCTTACTTACGAGCCCTTTCCCAACAATGCAGAGTTAAAAAGTAAGACAATTAGCAAATAAAAATAGAAAATAACAATAACGAGGCTATATACAAAGGAGTACCGAGTCAATGTGCAGGGGTTCGAGGTACAGTGAGATAAAAAAGTATTTGATCCCCTGCTGATTTTGTACGTTTGCCCACCGACAAAGAAATGATCAGTCTATAATTTTAATGGTACGTTTATTTGAACAGTGAGAGACAGAATAACAACAAAAAAATCCAGAAAGACGCATGTCAAAAATGTTATAAATTGATTTGCATTTTAATGAGGGAAATAAGTATTTGACCCCCTCTCAATCAGAAAGATTTCTGGCTCCCAGGTGTCTTTTATACAGGTAACGAGCTGAGATTAGGAGCACACTCTTAAAGGGAGTGCTCCTAATCTCAGTTTGTTACCTGTATAAAAGACACCTGTCCACAGAAGCAATCAATCAATCAGATTCCAAACTCTCCACCATGGACAAGACCAAAGAGCTCTCCAAGGATGTCAGGGACAAGATTGTAGACTTACACAAGGCTGGAATGGGCTACAAGACCATCGCCAAGCAGCTTGGTGAGAAGGTGACAACAGTTGGTGCGATTATTGGCAAATGGAAGAAACACAAAATAACTGTCAATCTCCCTCAGCCTGGGGCTCCATGCAAGATCTCACCTCGTGGAGTTGCAATGATCATGAGAACGGTGAGGAATCAGCCCAGAACTACACGGGAGGATCTTGTCAATGATCTCAAGGCAGCTGGGACCATAGTCACCAAGAAAACAATTGGTAACACACTATGCCGTGAAGGACTGAAATCCTGCAGCGCCCGCAAGGTCCCCCTGCTCAAGAAAGCACATATACATGCCCGTCTGAAGTTTGCCAATGAACATCTGAATGATTCAAAGGAGAACTGGGTGAAAGTGTTGTTGTCAGATGAGACCAAAATCGAGCTCTTTGGCATCAACTCATCTCGCCGTGTTTGGAGGAGGAGGAATGCTGCCTATGACCCCAAGAACACCATCCCCACCATCAAACATGGAGGTGGAAACATTGTGCTTTGGGGGTGTTTTTCTGCTAAGGGGACAGGACAACTTCACCGCATCAAAGGGACGATGGATGGGGCCATGTACCGTCAAATCTTGGGTGAGAACCTCCTTCCCTCAGCCAGGGCATTGAAAATGGGTCGTGGATGGGTATTCCAGCATGACAATGACCCAAAAGACACGGCCAAGGCAACAAAGGAGTGGCTCAAGAAGAAGCACATTAAGGTCCTGGAGTGGCCTAGCCAGTCTCCAGACCTTAATCCCATAGAAAATCTGTGGAGGGAGCTGAAGGTTCGAGTTGCCAAACGTCAGGCTCGAAACCTTAATGACTTGGAGAAGATCTGCAAAGAGGAGTGGGACAAAATCCCTCCTGAGATGTGTGCAAACCTGGTGGCCAACTACAAGAAACGTCTGAACTCTGTGATTGCCAACAAGGGTTTTGCAACCAAGTACTAAGTCATGTTTTGCAGAGGGGTCAAATACTTATTTCCTTCATTAAAATGCAAATCAATTTATAACATTTTTGAGATGCGTTTTTCTGGATTTTTTTTGTTGTTATGCTGTCTCTCACTGTTCAAATAAACCTACCATTAAAATTATAGACTGATCATGTCTTTGTCAGTGGGCAAATGTACAAAATCAGCAGGGGATCAAATATTTTTTTCCCTCACTGTAGTTGAGGAAATGTGTACAGTTGAAGTCTACATAGTTTACATACACCTTAACCAAATACATTTAAACTCAGTTTTTCACAATCCCTGTCATTTAATCCTAGTAAAAGTTCCCTGTCTTAGGTCAGTTAGGATCACCACTTTATTTTAAGAATGTGAAATGTCAGAATAATAGTAGAGAGAATGATTTATGTCAGCTTTTATTTCTTTCATCACATTCCCAGTGGGTCAGAAGTTTACATACACTCAATTAGTATTTGGTAGCATTGCCTTTAAATTGTTTAACTTGGGTCAAACATTTCGGGTAGCCTTCCACAAGCTTCCCACAATAAGTTGGGTGAATTTTGGCCCATTCCTCCTGACAGAGCTGGTGTAACTGAGTCAGGTTTGTAGGCCTCCTTGCTCGCACACGCTTTTTCAGTTCTGCCCACAAATGTTCTAAAGGCTTTGTGATGGCCACCAGAATACCTTGACTTTGTTGTCCTTAAGTCATTTTGCCACAACTTTGGAAGTATGCATGAGTTCATTGTCCATTTGGAAGACCCATTTGCGACCAAGCTTTAACTTCCTGACTGATGTCTTGAGATGTTGCTTCAATATATCCACATAATTTTCCATCCTCATGATGCCATCTATTTTGTGAAGTGCACCAGTCCCTCCTGCAGCAAAGCACCCCCACAGCATGATGCTGCCACCCCCGTGCTTCACGGTCGGGATGGTGTTCTTCGGCTTGCAAGCATCCCCCTTTTTCCTCCAAACATAACGATGGTCATTATGGCCAAACAGTTATATTTTTGTTTAATCAGATCAGAGGACATTTCTCCAAAAAGTATGATCTTTGTCCCCATGTGCAGTTGCAAACCGTAGTCTGGGTTTTGGAGCAGTGTCTTCTTCCTTGCTGAGCGGCCTTTCAGGTTATGTCGATATAGGACTTGTTTTACTGTGGATGTAGATACTTTTGTACCTGTTTCCTCCAGCATCTTCACAAGGTCCTTTGCTGTTGTTCTGCACTTTTCGCACCTAAGTACGTTCATCTTTAGGAGACAGAACGCGTCTCCTTCCATAGCGGTATGATGGCTGCATGGTCCGATGTGTTTATACTTGCATACTATTGTTTGTACAGATGAACCTTCGTGCATTTGGAAATTGCTCCCAAGGATGAACCAGACTTGTGGAGGTCTACAATGTCTTGGCTGATTTCTTTTGATTTTCCCATGATGTCAAGCAAAGAGGCACAGAGTTTGAAGGTAGGCCTTGAAATACATCCACAGATACACCTCCAATTGACTCAAATGATGTCAGTTAGCCTATCAGAAGCTTCTAAAGCCATGACATCATTTTCTGGAATTTTCCAAGCTGTTTAAAGGCACAGTCAACTTAGTGTATGTAAACTTCTGACCCACTGGAATTGTGATACAGTGAATTATAAGTTTTGGATTTTTTTTTATAACCCAACCCTGATCTGTACTTCTCCACAACTTTGTCCCTGACCTGTTTGGAGAGCTGCTTGGTCTTCATGGTGCCACTTGGTGCCCCTTGCTTAGTGGTGTTGCAGACTCTGGGGCCTTTCAGAACAGGTGTATATATACTGAGATCATGTGACACTTAGATTGCACACATGTGGACTTTATTTAACTAATTATGTGACTTCTGAAGGTAATTGGTTGCGCCAGATCTTATTTAGGAGCTTCATAGCAAAGGGGGTGAATACATATGCACGCACCACTTTTCCATTATATATTTTTTAGAATGTTTTGAAACAAGTTATTTTTTAAATTTCACTTTACCAATATGGACTATTTTGTCTATGTCCATTACATGAAATCCAAATAAAAATCCATTTAAATTACATGTTGTAATGCAACAAAATAGGAAAAACGCCAAGGGGGATGAATGCTTTTGCAAGGCACTGTATGTGAAGTGTAAATGTGTATGTGTGTGTGTGTGTGTGTGTGTGTGTAGCGTCAATATGCATGTGTATGTGTGTGAGTGTATGTGTGTTGGAGTGTCAGTTTAAGTATGTGTGAGTGTGTGGGTAGAGTCCAGTGAGTGTGCATAGAGTCCATGCATGAGAGTCAGTGCAAAAATAGGTCAATGCAAATAGTCCAGGTAGCCATTTGATTAACCTCTACGGGATCGGTGGCCATATGCGGGACGGTTGAGCTAACGTGCGCTAATGTGATTAGCATGACTGTTGTAAGTAACAGCAAATTTTACAGGACATAGACATGTCTTATATTAAATTCTTGTTCATCTACAGTGGGGAAAAAAAGTATTTAGTCAGCCACCAATTGTGCAAGTTCTCCCACTTAAAAAGATGAGAGAGGCCTGTAATTTTCATCATAGGTACACGTCAACTATGACAGACAAATTTAGATTTTTTTTCTCCAGAAAATCACATTGTAGGATTTTTTATGAATTTATTTGCTATTTATGGTGGAAAATAAGTATTTGGTCACCTACAAACAAGCAAGATTTCTGGCTCTCACAGACCTGTAACTTCTTATTTAAGAGGCTCCTCTGTCCTCCACTCGTTACCTGTATTAATGGCACCTGTTTGAACTTGTTATCAGTATAAAAGACACCTGTCCACAACCTCAAACAGTCACACTCCAAACTCCACTATGGCCAAGACCAAAGAGCTGTCAAAGGACACCAGAAACAAAATTGTAGACCTGCACCAGGCTGGGAAGACTGAATCTGCAATAGGTAAGCAGCTTGGTTTGAAGAAATCAACTGTGGGAGCAATTATTAGGAAATGGAAGACATACAAGACCACTGATAATCTCCCTCGATCTGGGGCTCCACGCAAGATCTCACCCCGTGGGGTCAAAATGATCACAAGAACGGTGAGCAAAAATCCCAGAACCACACGGGGGGACCTAGTGAATGACCTGCAGAGAGCTGGGACCAAAGTAACAAAGCCTACCATCAGTAACACACTACGCCGCCAGGGACTCAAATCCTGCAGTGCCAGACGTGTCCCCCTGCTTAAGCCAGTACATGTCCAGGCCCGTCTGAAGTTTGCTAGAGTGCATTTGGATGATCCAGAAGAGGATTGGGAGAATGTCATATGGTCAGATGAAACCAAAATAGTTTTACCAACTTTTTGGTAAAAACTCTACTCGTCGTGTTTGGAGGACAAAGAATGCTGAGTTGCATCCAAAGAACACCATACCTACTGTGAAGCATGGGGGTGGAAACATCATGCTTTGGGGCTGTTTTTCTGCAAAGGGACCAGGACGACTGATCCGTGTAAAGGAAAGAATGAATGGGGCCATGTATCGTGAGATTTTGAGTGAAAACCTCCTTCCATCAGCAAGGGCATTGAAGATGAAACGTGGCTGGGTCTTTCAGCATGACAATGATCCCAAACACACCGCCCGGGCAACGAAGGAGTGGCTTCGTAAGAAGCATTTCAAGGTCCTGGAGTGGCCTAGCCAGTCTCCAGATCTCAACCCCATAGAAAATCTTTGGAGGGAGTTGAAAGTCTGTGTTGCCCAGCGACAGCCCCAAAACATCACTGCTCTAGAGGAGATCTGCATGGAGGAATGGGCCAAAATACCAGCAACAGTGTGTGAAAACCTTGTGAAGACTTACAGAAAACGTTTGACCTGTGTCATTGCCAACAAAGGGTATATAACAAAGTATTGAGAAACTTTTGTTATTGACCAAATACTTATTTTCCACCATAATTTGCAAATAAATTCATTAAAAATCCTACAATGTGATTTTCTGGATTTGTTTTTCTCATTTTGTCTGTCATAGTTGACGTGTACCTATGAGGAAAATTACAGGCCTCTCTTATCTTTTTAAGTGGGAGAACTTGCACAATTGGTGGCTGACTAAATACTTTTTTTCCCCACTGTAACTACACTGTCCAATTTACAGTAGCTATTACAGTGAAAAAATACCATTCTATTGTTTGAGGAGAGTGCGCAACAACAAAACTTATCACGGCAACTGGTTTGATTCATTCACCTCTGAAGGTAAATAATGTACTTACATTCAGTAATCTTGCTCTGATTTGTCATCCTGAGGGTCCCAGAGATAAAATGTAGCATAGTTTTGTTTGATGAAATCAATTTTTATATTCAAATGTAGGAACTGGGTTCTACAGTTTGAACCCTTGCTGTCTCTGGCTCCACACCCACCCCGCCCGGCCATCTAGATGTGTGAAAGTTAGTGTATAAGCTAATGATCCATCATGTATGACATTCCTGGGAGTGTGTAAACTTATATTTTGTATTACCATATCATTTTTGTATGTTCTCTATAGTTATGTACTTGAAAATGTATCAATTGACCAATTCAGCACATTTGGGCAGACTTGATACAAAATAGTCCAGTATTGCAATGCTTCACTGGATCAATCTGAAATGTTGCACACACACACTGCTGTCATCTAGTGGCCAAAATTGTGCCTAAACTGCAATATTATATTGTGACCTTTCTCTTGCATTTCAAAGAGGATGGATTTTTTAAAAACAATAGAAAACACATGTATTTTTGTTTGTATTATCTTTTACCAGATCTAATGTGTTATATTCTCCTACATTAATTTGACATTTCCACAAACTTCAATGTGTTTACTTTCAAATGGTATCAAGAATATGCATATCCTTGATTCAAGTCCAGTTAGATTTGGGTATGTCATTTTAGGCGAAAATTGAAAAAAAGGGTCAGATCCTTAAGAGGTTAACTGTTCAGCAGTTTTATGGCTTGGGGGTAGAAGCTGTTCTGGAGCCTTTTGGTCTTAGACATGGCACTTCGGTACCTCTTGCCATGCGGTAGCAGAGTGAACGGGTCTATGGCTTGGGTGGCTGGGGTCTTTGACAATTTTCCGGGCCTTCCTCTGACACTGCCTGGTACAGTGCATTCGGAAAGTAATTTATTTTTAAAAATGTTCCCTCATCAATACCCCTTAATGACAAAGCAACAACAGGTTTTTAGAAATGTTTGCACATTTATAAAAAAACTGTATTCAGACCCTTTACTCAGTACTTTGTTGCACCTTTGGCAGGGATTACAGCCTCGAGTGAGGCTTCTCTCTCACAACAACAAGATTATCCCAGGCCAAGATCACCCCGTGGCCCATGAAGCAACCAGAGAAGGGTGACACTCACTCTGCCCCCTGCAAGAGGATTATGGGTAGAACATAAAGATGGCGATCGCGCGGGTGGTCTCTGACACAAGTTTGTGTGTGTGTGTTTCACAGGATCATGCGCTTCCCTTGGCAGTTGAGTAAGGAGAAAGTCCGTCAAATCTTGCAGGAGGCTCTGTACGTGTGGAGTGAAGTCACGCCCTTGAAGTTCACGGAGGTCAGCAGTGGGAGAGCTGACATCATCATCGACTTTACCAGGTAATCATCAAACTACAGGTGTAGGATCTTAATTTGACCAGTGTTGTCGTAGCAACATAATCCTGCAGCAACAAGATTTTAATGTTTAGTTTAGTCCATAATGTGGCTTGGTCGATGGTTAGACTATTAGCTGGCCAAAATTAGGCTACATAAAAAGTGCAATACTGTAAATATAACCGTGTGTTAGTGTGGGTTTTCAGTGAATTTATGTAAATCACAAAGCTCATCTGCATTTACTGTGGTGCAGAACACTCTGAGAACCTGAGGCAAGCTTGGGATCAACTCTATTTCAGCTCACTTATTTCAGAAAATCAATTGAAATTCCATTCATGCACTGAAAAATGTCCTATTGATTTCTATTACCGTTTTTAAATATGCTTTCAATATAACAGCATTACTGGTCATATGACTCGGTGTGTTGGTACACATCATCAATACTATGTATGTATCATTGGCAGGGGCGGTGTGTTCAATAGGGCGATATGGGCGACGCACTGCCAAACGGGAAAAGGAAGGGATTTTTTTTCTAATCAATTATATCACGGCAACAGTAGTTATCAGTGTTGTAATCTAGACGTCTGATCAGCCACTAAATGTCCAATCAGGCTAAAGTCGTGCTTCAAATGGCCCCCCCCCTTTTGGGGCGATTTCAGTCAGGTTGAAAATCACCCAGAAGTCTGTCATAGACTCCCATGTAAAATCAATTTTTTTCAAATATCAGAGCTTTCAATACAATCTCTATGGGTTTCTGAGGGCTTGCACTTACGCGCTTTCGTCATACGTAACATAACCATGAACGTAACTAAGAAAAGAGCGGGTAGCCTCATCAATCAATTCACTACTACTGTGAAAATGGCTAGGCTTCAGTGCAACTCGATTGTGTCTTTGAAAGAAGTTCCTTTTTGTCGGCGAACAAATGAAGATAAATTGGCAACGAAACAATTAGGACCTCCCAGACCAAATTTAATAATTCAACAGGTTTCTACTAAAGGGGGGAAGTCCTACACCCGAGGATTTTCCAAAAATTGGTACGAACGAAAAACCTGGCTAGCAGGCTGCGATGTAGCTAATGCAGTCTTCTGCTACCCCCCTGCTTACTCTTTCACCCTGAAGGCGGCACGGCAGACAGCACCGCTTGGACAGCGACTGGTGTGTAACGGACATGCACCATCTTTCAGGAAAGATTAAGAAACATGAGCTGTCAAAGACCCACATGGATAGCTGTTTGAGATTGTCTGCTTTGGGGAGAGTGAACATTCCCACTCAACTGGATGAGGGATACAGGCTAGCTGTCCGCCGCCACAACGATGAGGTTAGTGTTGATAATCACAAGTTTACTGGAGAACTGAAACTGACAAGGCTGACAAGATAGGACCCTTTTGTCCATTGTTATTGGATAGGAACAGAACTTATAACCAGCTCCTGACCTAAATAGATCTTAGCACAACATTTTACTCAACATATCATATTCCATATTCACTATAACAAATATATTTACTACGACATTAGCAAGAACCGCCACATCCTCAGCCGGCTAATCCAGTGTGTGAAGTTTTGCGGAGTGTTTGAGTTAGCTTTGCGAGGCAAAGATGAAACTGAGGGCTCCACCAACCCTGGTAAGCCAACACTTTTGAGATCAGTCAATAAATGCTTCTGGTATTGACTTATATGCTGCCCCTGTCTTCATGTTGTTGCTGGACATATCTTTTTTTAAATGTGTGTAAGTCACCTAAATCATCAGAAAAATTGCCCCCCCTGAGAATTTTTTCAGGAGCCGCCACTGATCATTGGTATGTCTTGTATCACTTTCCTGACTCACTCAATATGACTGCGCTTATCTGTGAAGCACTCAAACTTTACTACAAATATTACTAATGCTAACACCCAGCACATCCTATTTTGTCTGTCTAGTGCTTCTTATCAGGTTCATCTTGTTGACTTAAAGAGGTGAAGTTCTCATCTTATCAGACAAAAACACAAGGACCTTTTTTAAAAAGAGAAGTTGAGGGATTAGCGTTGATGGTTGTATAGATAACCAGCTTTGCTGTTGGATATTCATACAGCTGTGTTCTGGGCTTGTTATCTGTTAGGGAAATAGGGGCGTGGTGTTACAGCTAGTACAGCATTTCTCACTGGCCCAGCACTAGTGTTCAGGTATCGCGGTCCAATCACCAACCTTGAGGGCAATTTCCATTTTACTCCAAAAATGTGAAGCAGGTATGTATTAATTGGTGAATGGCCATTTTATTTTCAAAGAAATGTTATTCCTGAATTATATTTTCTAATTCAAACCCTGAACTCACCAACTCAGTTAAACTGAGTTGAATTGACCCCAACCCTGCCCGTCACTCACCCATGTCTATAATAAGCCATGCTCAAGTGCGGATTCCCCCCGGAGGGTAGTTCTCCAGGAACAGGGTTGGAGAGCCCTGTTCTATATCTATGGATGCAACCCAGTTGTTAGTTCGATCACTATGCATGCCGGCAACGTTAACTGGATTTAATCGCTGTGGTATGAGCCGTAACTCAATGCCCCCGCAGTGCAATTGGGCTGAGCAATGGCATAGTTTAGGACCTTTTACCTTACATCAAAAAGATGCCTCAGTAATGACATGATGTTCAGTTACTGTACTAGGTTGGATCTTGACATCAAGAGGGTTATGGAGTCCCAAGATTAGTTATAGACCCAGATGTTTTACTGTCTGCAATGACAACATTACTTTGATTATTTACTGTACAGAAGGTCCATGGAGCCTACTTGAATATCTGAGCAGAAAGGAAAGGATCAAATGTCAATTTCCCCTTTGAATGCATCTTAATTAATGTTGAAATGGATACATGGATACATCCTCAACTGGCGGCCGGCGGGTAGTTTTATTTGGCCCCCCAAATTTTCTGAGCCAAATTAAATATTTTTATACTGAACACAAATATAATAATATAATAATAATATGCCATTTAGCAGACGCTTTTATCCAAAGCGACTTACAGTCATGTGTGCATACATTTTTACATATGGGTGGTCCCGGGGATCGAACCCACTACCCTGGCGTTACAAGCGCCATGTACCAATTGAGCTACAGAGGACCACAAAATATAAACGCAAAATGCAACAATTTCAACGATTTTACTGACTTACAGTTCAAATAAGGAAATCAGTCAATTGAAATAAATTCATTAGGCCCTAATCTATGAATTTTACATGACTGGGCAGGGGTGCAGCCATGGGTGGGCCTGGGAGGGTATAGGCCCACCCACTGGGGAGCCTGGCCCAGCCAATCAGAATGCGTTTTTCCCCACAAAAGGGCTTTATTACAGACAGAAATACTCCTTAGTTTCATCAGCTGTCCGGGTGGCTGGTCTCAGACGATCCCGCAGGTGAAGAAGCCGGATGTGGAGGTCCTGGGCTGGCGTGGTTACAAGTGGTCTGTGGTTGTGAGGCCGGTTGGACGTACTGCCAAAATCTCTAAAACGACATTGGAGGCGGCTTATGGTAGAGAAATTAACATTAACATTAAAAATTATCTGGCAACGACTCTGGTGCAGTCAGCATGCTAATTGCATGCTCCCTCAACACTTGAGACATCTGTGACATTGTGTTGTGTGACAGAACTGCACATTTTAGTGCAGCACAAGGTGTACCTGTGTAATGATCATGCTGTTTGATCAGCTTCTTGATATGCCACACCTGTCAGGTGGATAGATTATCTTGGCAAAGGAGAAATGCTCACTAACAGGGATTTAAACAAATTTGTGCACAAAATAAGTTTTTTGTGCGTGTGGAAAATTTCTGTGATCTTTTATTTTAGCTCATGAAACATGGTGCCAACACTTTACACGTTGCGTTTATATTTTTGTTCAGTATAGAATTTTCATTGTTCAACATAAAAGACTGTAAAAACACCAGGAAATCAGCTCCAAGTGATTTTAATTTTGGAAATCTGTTCCCAGGTATTCCCACGCATAATAGAGAGACATGATCTTATACAAATGTAAGCAAGGTTTGAAATAATCTGTTTGGGATTCTTGCGGTCAAATTGCAGTCTACAAATTATTTGTAATTATGTTCCGGGCCCCCGACCATCCGCTCAAGAAGACAATTGGCCCGTGGCTGAAATCTAGTTCATGATCCCTGTCCTAAAGTGACATTATTACTTATGAAGTGGTGAACTTAGTCTAAAACAAAATGGCTGACCACCCTGCCTTGTGCCATTGTGTTTGTTGTGTAGGTACTGGCATGGTGACAACCTGCCCTTCGATGGTCCTGGAGGCATACTGGCCCATGCCTTTTTCCCCAGAACTCACCGGGCGGGCGACATCCACTTTGACTATGATGAGAGTTGGACAGTGGGAAACAGCATGGGTGAGTGAATAGCAAAAATAAGAGATTTAATTTACCGGTCTATAGCAGTGGAGGCTCCTCAGAGGAGGAAGGGGAGGACCATCCTCCTCAGTGAATTTCATAAAAATAAAAATAGTGAAACATTAAAAAAGTTATAATTTCCAGATAAAACTATACAAAATATATTCACATGTCACCAAATAATTGATTAAAACACACTGTTGTGCAATAAAGGTCTACAGTAGCCTCAGCAGCAGTCTGTAGGGTAGCACTATGGTGTAGCCGGAGGACAGCTAGCTTCTGTCCTCCTCTGGGTACATTGACTTCAATACAAAACCTAGGAGGCTCGCCCCCTTCCATAGACTTACACAGGAATTATGACAACTTCTGGAGGACGTCCTCCAACCTATCAGAGCTCTTGCAGCATGAACTGACGTGTTGTCCACCCAATCAAAAGATAAGAGAATAAATCTAGTACTGAAAGCATAAGCTACAAATAGCTAGCACTGCAGTGCATAAAATGTGGTGAGTAGTTGACTCAGAGAGAGAAAGATAATAGTTGAACAGTTTTGAACAAATTAATTTCTTCCAAAATTAAGGAGAAGCGAGAGAGTGAGCTAGCTATTTTAGGCTATTGCATTAGGCAAATGCAGCTAGCTAGTTTAGGCTATTCAAACACCCAGCCCAAACAGAGAGGGATGCTATGTTAGCTAGCTGGCTATGGCTATCCAACACAGGAACTCTTCCAAGTCAAGGTAAGCTTTTGGTTTTATTAATTTATGATTGTAGCGGGTTTACTAGCGCGTTAGTTCTAGTAGCTTTGTTGACTATGACGTGAAAATGATGTAGCGATTAGCGTTCATGATATGAAGGTTTGGCTTGGAAATGTTTTTTCGCCTGGTCACAGACAGCTGATGTGTTGAGCACTGAAGTCCACAAGGGAAGGGAAAACGTGAGAGGAGGAGAAAACGTAGCGAGAAGGAATTATATATATATACAACGAGCAAAGAGATAATGCTGTTTTTATGTGGCTGCTATGAACGTGAACTGTGTTTGTGTGTGATCAGGGATGTATTCATTCCACCGGTTCTATCGAGGAAAAAAATAAAATAAACGGAAGAGAACGAAACGGGTATAAACATTCCTGAATTTGTCCAATAGAAACTCACATTTGCAACTGTTGGACTAATGATTACACCCTAGATCAGCTAGATGCAGGCAAGATTGTGCAAGGCGATTTTGAATGTGTCAATGTCTGTCACCTTGAGTACTCAAAATTCTCTCGACCTGTGCACCTATGCTGTAAACTTTCATTCATAGGCTAGGTTGTAGCAACCTCATGATGGGTACAGGGAAAATTAGAGTATCATGTAGTAGCCTAAACCTATCGATGTTACATTGAGCTGGATGAATGGAATATGAATGACAGTCATCCAATATGCCGTAATAGAAATATGGCCAATAATCGTCCTCCCTCATCTTAAACGGCACCACTGGTCTCTAGGTAGTAGTTTACAAGTGAAGATACTGAACAAACATTGCTAAAGATACTGCCTAAATCTTGCTCAGGCAAGTTTGGTTGAATCCCTCTGTCTCAATGTCACTGACCCTTGTCCCATGGTGGTCCCGCAGGCACGGACCTCCTGCAGGTGGCAGCCCATGAGTTTGGCCACGTCCTCGGCCTCCAGCACTCCCTGGTCGACGGAGCCGTCATGTCCCCCTTCTACAGCTTCTCTTATCCCCTGGAGCTGAGTGACGATGACAAGCAGGGTATCCAATACCTGTACGGCCCGCCGCGGAAAGCCCCGCCCGTCATCACCGAGACCAATGAGATCGAAACCACCGTGGTGAGGACTGAACATGACAAGAAATTAATAGAAGTTCAACTTATCAGTGAACACATCAATTGTTGGAAGCATATAGGTAGCAACTGGAATATTAGTAGGTTAATACACAATGCTCATTTCAGTGACCCAATTTGTTGAGATTGAAGAAAGTTTCCAGGCCTCTACAAGGCTGAATTGCGCTTCCGCCATATTGATTTTGCATGACATAACCTGTGCTCACTCTGTCTCTCTCTCCATGACTTGGCCACAGCCAGACCCCTGCAGGACTAACTTTGACGCCGTGTCCATGATCAGAGGGGAGATGTTCTTCTTCAAGTCCCGCTACGTGTGGCGTATCCGTGATGGCCGACTGCAGGCGGGGTACCCGGCGCTAGCAACGCGCCACTGGAGGGGGATCCCCGACAACATTGATGCGGCCTACGAAGACAAGACTGGAAACAGCTGGTTCTTCCAAGGTGGGTTCCACCATAGAAATAGAATACCTGCCATAGTCTGGGGTTTTACCCATTCTAGTAAGTATTTATATGGGCTCCACTGTTCTGCTGGTAGCAGTTGCTTTTGAGCTCTGATATTTGGCAGGAGTACAGAAGTAGTACAGAAGTAGCTCATCGTAGGGCGATGTGTCCAATTTTTTTAAAGAAGATATTTTTATGATATGACAGTTCAAAACAGACAGGAGAGGCCCAAGGTGAGAGTCAAACCCCTGTCGCCAGGACGTGTGTGTGGTCCAGAGTCGGGAGCTTAGAGCGCTGTACCAGACTCTGGCATGTTGGTAGCAGTTCTGGGTGGGACAATAAGGGTTTCGATTTGAGACTGCCATTTTTCTGAAAGGCAGGCACAGGAGGCTGCTGAGGGGAGAACGGCTCACAATAATGTCCGGAACAAAACAAATGGAAACCATGTGTTTGATGTATTTGATACCATTCCACTGATTCCGCATCAGTCATTACCACGAGCCCGTTCTCCCCAATTAAGGTGCCACCAACTTCCTGTGAAGTCAGGTTAGGTCAAACTTCTAGAAAGAAAGTATTTGACAGCAAGAGGGGTAAATGCAAAGTTATATTAGTTGCTTCACACAAACAATCCACAGCTTAAGGACTCTCTGCTCTGGTTTAGTTTAATCATAGTGATGACAGGTGGGAGAAACATGGTCTACTCTTGCACGGGTGTATAGTGTGTGTGTGTGCAGATATATACGATTGTCTGTGTGTGCCTGTGTGCAAAGGCACGTGTCTGTGTCTGTCTGTGGGTGTGTGTTGTTTTATGGGTGTCTAAACTCTCCACCTCCCACCAGGGCTCTGCCAGTGTTTGGGTGGGCAAATTAGGCCCAGCAGTTAGCAGAAGGTCCTATAAACACAGCAGTAGCAGCAGTAGTAGTAGGGAGAGGAAACAGCTGCAGTAGGGAGAGAGAGGAAACAGCTGCAGTAGGGAGAGGAAACAGCTGCAGTAGAGAGAGGAAACAGCTGCAGTAGAGAGAGGAAACAGCTGCAGTAGAGAGAGGAAACAGCTGCAGTAGAGAGAGGAAACAGCTGCAGTAGGGAGAGAGAGGAAACAGCTGCAGTAGAGAGAGGAAACAGCTGCAGTAGGGGGAGGAAACAGCTGCAGTAGGGGGAGGAAACAGCTGCAGTAGGGGGAGGAAACAGCTGCAGTAGAGAGAGGAAACAGCTGCAGTAGGGAGGAAGGCAGAGAAACAGCTGCAGTAGGGGAGGAAACAGCTGCAGTGAGGGGGAGGAAAACAGCTGCAGTAGAGAGAGGAAACAGCTGCAGTAGGGAGAGGAAACAGCTGCAGTAGAGGGGAGAGGAAACAGCTGCAGTAGGGAGAGGAAACAGCTGCAGTAGGGAGAGGAAACAGCTGCAGTAGGGAGAGAGAGGAAACAGCTGCAGTAGGGAGAGGAAACAGCTGCAGTAGGAGAGAGGAAACAGCTGCAGTAGGGAGAGGAAACAGCTGCAGTAAGGAGAGGAAACAGCTCAGTAGGAGAGAGGAAACAGCTGCAAGTGGGAGGAGAGAGGAAACAGCTGCAGTAGAAGGGAGGAGAGGAAACAGCTGCAGTAGGGAGAGAGAGGAAACAGCTGCAGTAGGAGAGGGAAACAGCTGCAGTAGAGGAAACAGCTGCAGTAGGAGAGAGGAAACAGCTGCAGTAGAGAGAGGAAACAGCTGCAGTAGGGAGAGGGAAACAGCTGCAGTAGGAGAGAGAGGAAAACAGCTGCAGTAGGAGAGAGGAAACAGCTGCGTAGAGGAGGAGGAGGAGGAAACAGCTGCAGTAGGAGGAGAGGAAAACAGCTGCAGTAGGGAGAGGAAAAGCGTAGGAGGAAACAGCTGCAGTAGGGAGAGAGGAAACAGCTGCAGTAGGGAGAGAGGAAACAGCTGCAGTAGGGAGAGAGAGAAGCTGAGAGCAAGCTGACAGTGCAGTAGGGAGAGGAAACAGCTGCAGTAGGGAGAACGTGCAGTAGGGAAGAGAGGAAACAGCTGCAGTAGGAGAGAGAGGAAACAGCTGCAGTAGGGAGAGAGGAAACAGCTGCAGTAGGAGGGTAGAGAGAGGAAACAGCTGCAGTAGAGGAAAGAAGAGGAAGGTAGGAAGAAACAGCTGCAGTAGGGAGAGAGGAAACAGCTGCAGTAGGGAGAGAGAGGAAACAGCTGCAGTAGGGAGAGAACAGCTGCAGTAGAGGGGAAACAGCTGCAGTAGGGAGGAGGAAACAGTCTGCAGTAGGAGAGGAAACAGCTGCAGTAGGAGAGGAACAGCTGCAGGAGGGAGAGGAAACAGCTGCAGTAGGGAGAGGAAACAGCTGCAGTAGAGAGAGGAAACAGCTGCAGTAGGGAGAGGAAACAGCTGCAGTAGGGAGAGGAAACAGCTGCAGTAGGAGAGAGAGGAAACAGCTGCAGTAGGAGAGAGAGGAAAACAGCTGCAGTAGAGAGAGGAAACAGCTGCAGTAGAGAGAGGAAACAGCTGCAGTAGGAGAGGAAAGGAAAAACAGCTGCAGTAGGAGAGGAGGAAACAGCTGCAGTAGAGGAGAGAGGAAACAGCTGCAGTAGAGAGAGGAAACAGCTGCAGTAAGGAGAGAAGGAGGGGAAACAGCTGCAGTAGGAGAGAGGAAACAGCTGCAGTAGGGAGAGGAAACAGCTGCAAGGTGAGAGAGAGGAAACAGCTGCAGTAGAGAGAGGAAACAGCTGCAGTAGAGAGAGGAAACAGCTGCAGTAGAGGAACGGAGGAGGAAACAGCTGCAGTAGAGAGAGGAAACACGCGTAGAGAAGAACGCTGAGAGGAGAGGAAACAGCTGCAGTAGGAGAGAGGAAAACAGCTGCAGTAGGAGAGGAAACAGCTGCAGTAGAGAGAGAAGAAACAGCTGCAGTGGAGGGAGGAAACAGCTCATAGGGGAGGAGAAACAGCTGCAGTAGGAGAGAAACACTGCAGTAGAGAGAGGAAACAGCTGCAGTAGAGAGAGGAAACAGCTGCATGGCAGTGAGACAGCTGCAGTAGGGGAGGAAACAGCTGCAGTAGGAGAGAGGAAACAGCTGCAGTAGGGAGAATAGAGAGAAGAAACAGCTGCAGTAGGGAGAGAGAAACAGCTGCAGTAGGAGAGAGAGGAAACAGCTGCAGTAGAGGAGAGGAAACAGCTGCAGTAGAGAGAGGAAACAGCTGCAGTAGGGAGAGAGGAAACAGCTGCATAGGGAGGACACTGCTAGAGGAGAGTAGGAAAACAGCTGCAGTAGGGAGAGAGAGGAAACAGCTGCAGTAGGAGAGAGGAAACAGCTGCAGTAGAGAGAGGAAACAGCTGCAGAGGAGAGGAAACAGCTGCAGTAGGGAGAGGAAACAGCTGCAGTAGGGAGAGGAAACAGCTGCAGTAGAGAGAGGAAACAGCTGCAGTAGAGGAGGAACAGCTGCAGTAGAGAGAGGAAACAGCTGCAGTAGGAGAGGAAAACAGCTGCAGTAGGGAGGAGAGGAAACAGCTGCAGTAGGGAGGAGGAGGAAACAGCTGCAGTGAGAGGAGGAAACAGCTGCAGTAGGGAGAGAGGAAACAGCTGCAGTAGGGGAGAGGAAACAGCTGCAGTAGGGAGAGGAAACAGCTGCAGTAGAGAGAGGAAACAGCTGCATAAGAAGCAGTAGAGAGAGGAAACAGCTGCAGTAGAGAGAGAGGAAACAGCTGCAGTAGGGAGAGAAACGCTGCAGTAGAGAAGAGAAAACGAGTAGGAAAAACACCAGTAGAGAAAACAGCTGCAGTAGGGAGAGAGAGGAAACAGCTGCAGTAGAGAGAGGAAACACGCTGGAAATCAGTAGGAGAGGAAACAGCTGCAGTAGGGAGAGAGAAGGAAACAGCTGCAGTAGGAGAGGAAGTGAGAGGAGAGAACAGCTGCAGTGAGGGAACATGGAGGAAACAGCTGCAGTAGAGAGAGGAAACAGCTGCAGTAGGGAGAGGAAACAGCTGCAGTAGAGAGAGGAAACAGCTGCAGTAGGAGAGGAAACAGCTGCAGTAGAGAGAGGAACAGCTGCAGTAGGGGAGGAAGCAGAGAGGAAACAGCTGCAGTAGGAGAGGAAACAGCTGCAGTAGGAGAGGAAACAGCTGCAGTAGGGAGAGGAAACAGCTGCAGTAGGAGAGAGAGGAAACAGCGCAGTAGGAGAGGAAACAGCTGCAGTGAGAGAGGAAACAGCTGCAGTAGGGAGAGGAAACAGCTGCAGTGAGGAGAGGAAACAGCTGCAGTAGGAGAGGAAAACTGCAGTAGGGAGGAAACAGCTGCAGTAGGAAGAAACACGCAGAAAGAGAGAGAAACAGCTGCAGTAGAGAGAGGAACAGCTGCAGTAGAGAGAGAAACGCTGCATAGGGGAGGAAACAGCTGCAGTAGAGAAGGAAACAGCTGCATAGGGAGAGAAACAGCTGCAGAGGAGAGGAAACAGCTGCATAGGGGAGGAAACAGCTGCATAGGGGGACAGCTGCGTAGGAGAGGAAACAGCTGCAGTAGGGAGAGGAAACAGCTCAGTAGGAAGAGGAAACAGCTGCAGTAGGGAGAGAGGAAACAGCTGCAGTAGGGAGAGGAAACAGCTGCAGTAGGGAGAGGAAACAGCTGCAGTAGGGAGAGGAAACAGCTGCAGTAGGGAGAGGAAACAGCTGCAGTAGGGAGAGAGAGGAAACAGCTGCAGTAGGTCCATTCACCAGGTACAGGTTTCAGTGTCACGATCGTCGATGACAGAGGACCAAGGCGCAGCGTTACGAGCGAACATATTTATTATTTAAACGTACACACGAACAAAACAACGAAAACGTGACGTCTATGGTACACCATGAAACCACACGAACAAAATCCCACAAACACAAGGTGAACACAGACAGTTTAAATATGGCTCCCAATCAGAGATAACGAGCCGACAGCTGACACTCGTTACCTCCGATTGGGAGTCATTGACCAAATAAGGGAAACACAAAACCAATGACCACCCAACCAAACAAAACACAACCAAAACGAACACACCCTGGCTCAAAATACAAAGTCCCGGAGCCAGAGCGTGACAGTACCCCCCCCTCAAAACCCCAAATAGGGGAGGGCTGGGTGGGTGTTGCTCCTCAGAGGCGGCTCCGGCTCCGGGCTTGACCACCACCCTACTTCAATCCCCGCATAACGGCCCCGATCCGATCTGACCCAGCTGGCTGGATCAGGACTGACGACGCGCACCCCTGGCTTAGCGCGTGAGGCAGGAACGGACCGGACCTGGCTGACGATACGCACCCTAGGCTTGGTGCGTGGAGCCGGAACGGACCTCACCAGGCTGACGACTCGCATCCCTGGCTTGGTGCGAGTAGCAGGAATGGGCTGGACCGGGCTGACGACTCGCACCCTTGGCTTGGTGCGAGTAGCAGGAACGGGCTGAACCAGGCTGACGACTCGCACCCTTGGCTTGGTGCGAGTAGCAGGAACGGGCTGAACCAGGCTGACGACTCGCACCCTTGGCTTGGTGCGAGTAGCAGGAACGGGCTGGACCAGGCCGACGACTCGCATCCCTGGTTTGGTGCGAGTAGCAGGAACGGGTTGAACCAGGCTGGCGACTCGCACCCCTGGTTTGGTGCGAGTGGCAGGAACAGGCCGAGCTAGGCTGGCGACGCACCCCGTAGGCTTTGTGCGTGGAGCAGGAACAGGCCGAGCTGGGCTGGCGACGCACCCCGTAGGCTTTGTGCGTGGAGCAGGAACAGGACGAGCTGGGCTGGCGACGCACCCCGTAGGCTTTGTGCGTGGAGCAGGAACAGGCCGAGCTGGGCTGGCGACGCGCACCACAGACTCGGTGCGGAGCGCAGGAACGGGCCGGGCTGGGCTGGCGACGCGCACCACAGACTCGGTGCGGAGCGCAGGAACGTGCCGGGCTGGGCTGGCGACGCGCACCACAGACTCGGTGCGGAGCGCAGGAACGGACCGGGCTGGGCTGTCGACGCACACCGTAGGTTTGGTGCGGGGAGCAGGAATAGACCGGACCGTACTGGGGACACACACCACTGGCTCTACACCGGGATCTGGAACGGCCCGGACCGGACTGGCAACACACGCCAGTACCTCTCGCCGTGCCTCTACACCTACCATCCCCTCTTCTACCAGTGGCCCCCGTAACCTGGCGGCCTCCTCTGCAACCCCGCTGGACCGCTCCATAGCGGCCTCCTGCTGCCCCGACGTCGTGAGCCCCCCCCTAAAAATTTTCTGGGGGTCTTTCCAGGCCTCCAACATTCTCTCCCATCTCTCGCTCCTCTGTCTCCAACCCTCTTCACTTAGCTCCTCCATGGGCTTGACCCAATCGAAGCTGCCACGGAGATCTATTAGCGATGGCTCTTGGACACGCTGCTTGGTCTGGTCTTGGTGGGATTTTCTGTCACGATCGTCGATGAGAGAGGACCAAGGCGCAGCGTTACGAGCGAACATATTTATTATTTAAACGTACACACGAACAAAACAACGAAAACGTGACGTCTATGGTACACCATGAAACCACACGAACAAAATCCCACAAACACAAGGTGAACACAGACAGTTTAAATATGGCTCCCAATCAGAGATAACGAGCCGACAGCTGACACTCGTTACCTCCGATTGGGAGTCATTGACCAAATAAGGGAAACACAAAACCAATGACCACCCAACCAAACAAAACACAACCAAAACGAACACACCCTGGCTCAAAATACAAAGTCCCGGAGCCAGAGCGTGACATTCAGCCTGAGCATCTGGTTTATGTGACCCACCGTCTACCTAGCACAGATGTCGCCCCGAACAGCTGATACAGGATCAGATATTATTTAATCCCCCTAATAGTTAACATTAGGATTGGCTAGGCTAATCCCAGATCTGTGTCTAAAAAGACGTGTGACATCATCAACAGGCGACAGTTACTGGGTGTTTGACGCAGAGAGGAGGATCACGGGGCCAGACTCAGTGCATCGGCTGGGCCTTCAAGTGTCGGACATCCAGGCAGCCCTCATGTGGGGCGAGGACAAGGCCCAGAAGACCTACCTCTTCAAGTCGGGCACCTACTGGCGCTTCAGCCCCCTGGAGAACCGGGTGGACACGGCACACCCGCGTAGCATGCAGGACTGGAGGGGCATCCCCATGGACATTGACGCAGCCTTCCAGGACCGATATGGTGAGTCAGAGCTATACAAAAAGAGTCAAAGGCTAAATGTATTTGGACAGGATCCATTATGTCGTGTTGTGTTCCCAGTTCGGTTGATAGCAAGCATGTGGATATCTCTGAGTATTGTGTATTTCTGACAGTTTGTGTGTGTTTGTGTGTGTGTGTGTGTGTGTGTGTGTGCGTGCGTGCATGTAACCCCATGGTAATTCCATTTAACTGCACTGAGCTAATTGTTGACCTCCTAACCTCCTAATAGGCTTTGCTCATTTCCTGAGTGGGAGGCAGTATTGGAAGTTTGACCCTGTGGAGGTGAAGGTTCTGGAAGGATACCCCCGCTATATCGGCATGGACTTCTTTGGCTGCCCCGCTTCCTTTTATCGATAAAGCCCAGGAAGAGTCCATATCGCCCCAAGAGGTGAATGAAATATCACGGCCATCTTTATTTTGTTCCACTGGGACTTTAGACTGATACAATTACATAATTGTGTAACATCAACAGGTTTACTGTTGATTTTGGTCTACTGGAGGTCAGGACTTAATGCTATTGGTTGAAACCTTCATTATGACCCCAGTCTGAGGTTCGTGGCTGTCTGAAGACCAATAGAAATTGAGGTCATAATTCAAAGGATGAATTGAGTACATTTAGTTTTATCATCATCCACAATATAATAATAGCTGGTTTGAAATCGATGCACACTGTTTCAGAGATCAGTTAAAGAGCGGACGGCCAGCTAACTGAAAAACAATGTACGCAACTGGTATTTGTAAATGGACATTTTTGTTCAAGATAAGTAACTTCAACACTTTTGTTCACGATTATCATAACCCAATTAATCAATAGGCAGCTTTTTCTCAAGACGAATGCTTACCTCTGCATCAAATAATAAGTTGTGGTATGTTATGTTTTTATTTTTTCAGAACAATAACTTTTGTAACGGTCTTTAGCCTCTGGTACATACAATTGAACAGTGGCATTTAAAAGTAACATTTTACATAGGCTTGTCTTTTCAAATCCGTAGGAACAGTGTAGTTACAGTATTATTTCAATACTGTATGAGTACTTTTCTCTTTAAAGGGAAATTTCAAAAAAATTCTACGTCATATTCATAATCTCCAGCACCACCCCAACATCAACATATGTGAAAATAGCACGTTTAGATGTTTTGTATTAAAAAAGATAGAGGAAGAAAAGTGTTTCACATGACATCATCGGTGTGTATCATGTGATTTTAACCAATTATGAGTAGGCATTGCCTACTAATTGTCCACTAATTGGTTGATGATGTCACTGGAAACACTTATTTTCCTCAATTTTTTTTTATACATAACATAGAAAACCACAAATTTCACTTACAGTATGTTGATGTTGGGATGGTGCTGGAAATGATGAATATGAAGTTGAACATTTTAGAAATGTCCCTTTTAAAAATTACAACCGGTGTACTAGAGAGTGAGGTGATAGTTCTATGTTTCTTATTGGTGCTCATCGCCCTTTCCATCCACAGCCAATGATACTCTTCTCAGGAAAAAGCACATTTAACAAACTATACCATCTGAATAGTTGTTTGCCTTGATACTTATTTATTACTGTTTATGTGTTGGCAAAAATATTTTACCCACAGATGAGTCTCAAGTATTTCTCTGTGCAGTCCTGCTTTCTTTTCTACCATTGTTTAGACAAAACCCATCAGGTGTAGCAATGTAAACCTATTTGAGAGGGACACACATTTTCTCTCTAGCCTCACTGAGCTTTCGATTTCACACACAGATGCTAAAACTGACTCAACAATGAAAAGATCTGACAAAGTTTGATTTGGGAGTATAACGTCCCTTTAATGATGTGATGATTTTACAGTGGTGAAAGCCAAGCATTGCATATCCACAGTTGTCATGGTGATACCTCATCAGGTAAAACGTCCTTCAGTTCTTTGACAAACTGTTCCTTCCAAGATGGTGCTGTAAACCTTATTCATGTTGTAGCGTGGAACCATTGTCATGCAGCTAGCCTCAATTGCTAGTCATTGATGCTTCAGTGTATCAGCGCAGGCCACTGATACCATTTCCTCACTCTTTTTGATATATTGTGATGTCATTGACTGCAAGATAACTATTTCACATAGCTTGCACTGGTAGTTTTGGTTTCAGAACATTGTCTGTAGAATGATGTCTCCCAAACACTGTTTTTTTTAACCATGTATCCCACATAACAACATGACCATTAATCTTTCCTAGGATTGTTTTTTTAACCGAAATATATATTTACTATGTAAATCATTTTGTATAAATTCTTTGGTACCAATAAAAAGCCTCTTGGTTTAAATGAAATTACATTTTGTTTTGTTAATGAAATGTTTCACTTCCATATGTTGGGCACCGTTTGTAACATGCCATGTTTTGTGAAAAACATCAATTCCATGCCACAAAATGCTAACATTTGTCTCATATACAGTGCTGGATCAGTATCAGTAATGTTATTAATCATTGCAACATAACACATGTGGATTGCATCAGCTGCATGCTATTGAAGTGCAGGCATTATTGTAAGGATTGTTCCGGACTAATGCGGACTGCGCTCATGTTTTTGTTTATGAGCTGGGGACCCAAAGGCTTCATCCTCTAAGTGCCAAAGCAGGTCTGGAACCAATCTATCCTCCTCACCCAGTGTTGAAATGGAACCCGGGTTCTACTGTGTTGGAAATGGAACCCGGCTGTTCCGTGCTCCTCCCGTGGACCACATTCCACAACCATGTCACCTCTGGCCCCCAACACCACCAATTTGTTACATGTTGACGGCTCTGTTTTGATTGGATCTTTCTGCTAATAATCATCCCACAACTTTGAGAGATACAATTATGGGACGATGGGTCTGTCCCATAATGTTAGTCTCCAATAGAAGTAGGGGAGAGTGGGGAACGTTTGAAGCATTTTTTACATTAAGCATCCCTCCGTCAAGGGAAATATACTATTCTTTCTAGCAAAGATATCTACATATAATTTATTTCAGGATGTTGTGTATCCCTGGAAATAATCTGAATTCATGTAAACATGACAGGTTTGAAAACATAGTTTGTCCACAAAAAAAGTGGTCTCTTGGCACAACTTACCTAGGGAATGGGGTAAATTGAGCCGCGGGACAGGGTAAGTTAAGCCGCCTACAAATTTCTGTACTGAATTAAATATTACGGCAGGTAGCTTAGTGGTTAAGAGCGTTGTGCCAGTAACCGAAAGGTCGCTGGTTCTAATCCCCGAGCCGACTAGGTGAAAAATCTGTCGATGTGCCCTTGAGCAAGGCACTTAACCCTAATTGCTCCTGTAAGTCGCTCTGGATAAGAGCGTCTGCTAAATGACTAATTATTTATTACCACTACCTTTTTAAAACCATGTTTATCTTTATTTCCCAAACACAACACAATCGTTTTTTTTGTCTTTTTAACACTTTTAACATAGGCCAGGCCATGTTGTTACCTCATATCCCAGTAAAATGCCTTGCTTTAGGACTGGGAAGAAAACACTCCAATTGGCTCAAACAGTGGCTCAATTTACCCCAAGGCAAACATTTTGACTACATTACCCCACACAGCTACAAGGAGCCACTTTCATGCTAGGTTTAGGACCTCATATTCAAGCTTATAGAGACCCCAACTGATGTATAGAACTATCTTTAAATGATTTACTTTGGTTTAGATACATGCATCATGAAACCTCAAACATTCAACTTTATTTATATATTTTTTACCTTGTTTTCACAGACTCCTTGAAATGAGGATGTCAAATGATTAATTTTGTGTATGGTTTCCTAGAAACAAGGGTGAATCAACTTTAACCCTTTGGCTCAACTTACCCCACTCTCCCTAATTCCTTATCATCCTTGTGTGGGATGATGTCACTTGGCATAGTTAAAGCTGCAGGAAGTCCAAAAAAAGAGACTATTACTTAATCTTTGCGGCCATCTCAGAGCAATGCTGAGTTGAATAACTGTAAACCTGTATGCTGCCAGTATTCTGCTCTGTTAAAACCTTCAGACTGGGGGCAAAACAGACTGGGGGCTGAAAAGATGATAAATGGTAGTCGAAAGGATTATCCTAACACACACACACACACTATGGAAAAGTGGTGGACAGAACCTGACAGAAACTGGAAATTAATTGCAGCTTCCCTTCTTTTATTAGCCATATGTAAATATCCCTCCTTCTTTGATGTGGGGAGCAGGAGAACAAGCAGATGCTCTCTGTTCTCCCCTCGGCAATACAAGCCATTCCTCAATCTTTTCACTTTCCTTAAACCTCAATGCCATTCCTCACTCTTTTCACTTTCCTTAAACCTCAATGTCATTCCTCACTCTTTTCACTTTCCTTAAACCTCAATGCCATTCCTCACTCTTTTCACTTTCCTTAAACCTCAATGTCATTCCTCACTCTTTTCACTTTCCTTAAACCTCAATGTCATTCCTCACTCTTTTCACTTTCCTTAAACCTCAATGCCATTCCTCACTCTTTTCACTTTCCTTAAACCTCAATGTCATTCCTCACTCTTTTCACTTTCCTTAAACCTCAATGCCATTCCTCACTCTTTTCGCTTTCCTTAAACCTCAATGCCATTCCTCACTCTTTTCACTTTCCTTAAACCTCAATGCCATTCCTCATTCTTTTCCTCAGTACATTTATAGTGGCTGAGCTCTCTCATTAGGCAGTGACTGCAAGGACTAACAAGGCCCCTTGTAAGATTTGGATGTGAATAGAACAATGCACTGAGGTGGATAACTGATGGGCCAGATAGGGAGGAGGTTTGGTGCCTTGCGAGCTAGAGTGTTGGTTTTGGACAGTTCAAACAATCATTTGAGTCCACAATATACAGTATATATATTGTGGATATACGTTCTAAGGCAAAAAATTATAAAGCACAAAATTAAGTTTCTACAGATTTCTGATATACACTGAGCGTAAAAAACATTAGGAACACCTTCATAGATTTCACCTGGATTCACATGCTCAGTCTATGTCATGGAAAGAGATGGTGTTCCTAATGTTTTGTATACTCAGTGTAGATCAGTTCTTACAGAATTTCACAATGCAGTCCAGATCCTTTTATTAGGAATGTCTCCAGAAGGGAATATGGAAAGATAAGGCACTATCTGAAACAATGTAAACCACAATACTTAACCTATACAGTGTCCCCTCATCACTCTCTGTGACAGTGACTGTGGAGCATCACAAGGAGATAAGCCTTTAGAAGTGAACCAGAGTTATTGCAAGTATCCTGTCCTTGTGGTTATGCTGAAGAGTGATAATCATATCTGCATGTCGAGCAGGAGGAACGCAGCCAAGGATAAAGCAAGCCTGTACTGGCTCAGACACAGGCATGCGCATACACTTGACCCCTAAACTCTGCTATTTTATACATGCATTATTCAGGCGGCAAGAGGACGTTGCCAAGTTCATAAAAGTTCAGCCATGTACAGTTACAGTTTCACAGAGAGTCACTGATACAACAGTGTTGCATTATGTGAACAAAGGTGGAAATTAGATGTGGGAAAAGTTATTTTGCAGGATACTTTGAGGAATAGGGAGGCCTTTCAAGTTAACATTTATTTAAATGGTGTTGTCTCAATCATTCCAAAACATTAATTTCTCACAGTTCTCATGGTGCTCACTAAATTGTTATGCCATGGCCAACGTCCACCATCTTGCTGCTTGTAGCTGCTGTAATGTCAATTTGTGCCTCAAGATAAAATTATTTGCGGTTGAGTTTTTTATTCATTATGGTTTGAATTACCACAATGTATTTGGTTCCAAAAACAAGTATTACATTTTCATCCATTTTCAATGTTTTGAGTGAAACAGATGGTTTTCGGAACTAGCGATGTAACCACTTTTCCCCAAACCAGATTCAGATTACTTCCTATGAGTTTGATGGTGTTTTCTTTCTTTCTGTTTTGCTTAGGCAAGCATTAGTCATGGATCTGTCATCCTTTTGTGGTCTGCTTCAACCAGTCAAGCGTACAGTAGGAATCTGAGACACAGGAAAGACCCCCCTTTCAACTACTCTGAGCATAAATTGTTTTTGGCCATGGTACGAGGCTTTTAATGGCAGTTACAGAAAGATGCATCTTCGTTATTCATATAAATTCACATACCGGTTTGTCGCTAATTAAGAAAGTGGACATGTATAATGCATTATTAGATGTTATAAGCATGTACAGTACGAACATTTATAATGTCTTATAAGGCTTATATTATGTAGCAATTCAAAATTATTTAGTCAGTACAAGACATTGAAAGGGGGTCAAACATGTTTATGACAAGTATTACAATGCATTATAACCACATAATGCATTATATCCGTTAGCTTGAAGTTGTGTTAACAGCTGGTCTATTCTTTAACAAACACAGCTAGTAAAGTAGTTTTTCTCCACATTTAAATATGTAAAATTCATCTGGAGAAAGACTCAAATGCACTTACAATGCCCTTGGAGGCATGTCAAGTGCATACTAGTGTGATTTCCTGTCGTTTTGCATGTAACTTACAATGTGGTGAATGACACACAGGAACGTCCATATATCTGAAACAGCCCTTCCAGCTCATTCATCAGTGCCAACACTGCCACCAATGAAAGAAATGGGTTGGTTGCCAAAGGATTGTGGTTTTTCGTTAATCTTTTAGTCTTTTCAGTTTCATGTGAACGATCTCCAATTGCTGACTGTATAAAAGATATGGCATCTTGCATTTCAAAGGGCCACACTGGAAAATCTTACCCTGAGAACACAATATCTCAAATGTGAAAAGTGTTGGTGTACAGATTTGTTCAGTATAATCAGCTTAAATGGGGACCATAGTTAAAAGTGTGTTTAACCAAGAAACCATGCAGATTCAGCACTTCAGTATGGGAGATTAGGTCACAAGGAAGAGCTTGAGCGAACTAAAGAGAAACAGAATTGATGCCACACAAACTGAAGCATATCTACTTTAAGTACCTCAGTGACAATGAATAATAGCCCACTTGACAATTGTAGAGCAACAAACATGGCATTTTATTTAAAAAAGGAAACAAAACAAAAACGTTGACTAAAAGTAACAGCACCTTTACAAAAAGAAAGCACAATACATACGTTTACATTATTTGCAAGAGTTGAGTCTGCTCGAGTGTAACAATAGTTTCTATTAACGGACACGTCAGTCAGTCATCCATCTGCATCGTCCATCAAGAGGGATACGAGTGCATCAGAGCAGTATTACAGTTTGAGCTCACTTGGATGGTGAGTCCGTAGAAACAACAAAGGCTACATTTCATACTGATCCATACACTCTGCCCATGGCACCTGTCATTTACCACCTCATCTCATCAGAAATGAGTAGCGGCTTGAACCACTACAGGGGCTTGGATTGGGATTCATCAATAGAAATGGATAAGGCTCCTTCAACAAAAGTCTCTGTTCCTGGATCAAATGTAATTCTAATTAATGGAGTTCGGTATGTGACAATGGTCCTGGATCTGTGTCCAGAGGACATGACAGCCAAGCATAGAGTTAGTTAACATTATGGGGGCTGTAAGAAGGGACCAGTGGAATGTCTATTGTTGAGTTTGTGTGTGTGTGTCAGAGGGCCCATTGGGGCTGACCGTTAGTTGACCAGAGGCTCTGTAGTAGTTTATTGCTGCTTCGCTCTACCAGGCAGGGGCAGTGTTGGCAAGTCGTCTCATGCGCCTGAAAGGAAAACACATGGAATAGATTATTATGTGGCCGATGGCAGATAGGCTGGATGAATACAGTAGAGAATATTCTTAGATGGGGAATCTGATGATTCAGGCTTTCATACTTTTCTGACCAGATACCCTATTCCAAATTATAAACTGGTTTTGCTCAGATCAGTTTTCAATGGTCTGACTGGTGCAGACCAAAAACAATTTGTCTGATTTTGAGGCAAAACCATCTTGCGGTCTCTCCTCAACCTTCCGGTTACTGGTCTGTCTCTCTAACCTCTGGCCAGCCCACTTTCTTTAATGATCGCTTCCTAGAGGACAGGGTGAGTTCTAATAAGTTCCACCACAATGCTCCATCGCCCATTAAAAGGAATATTACACACATTAGTCCCCAGTTAATACAATCCACCTAAATTGTGCACGTCAGCAGTCAAGTTTTCAAATTAGAGAGCAGTACAGAGCAAAAACTCATGATGATGTGTGTTCTATCTTGAAAACGTAATTGATGACATACAAAATTATTTGCACTAATGAACAAAAAAATGGACAATTTAAGCCATTCTACAACAGTGGACATAGAGACTAGGAGAGGGCACTAGTCGTAGAGTAAGGCTCTATCTCAATGTCTTTCTGTGATTCCTCAACTCCTTCTCAACTGTAGAAGGTCCAAGGTCCCTCCCCTCGAATCTTCTTCTCCAATGGGTTTTGAGAAGTAGGCAAGGAGAGAGGATGCGAGGAATCGAAAAGGAAAGATGAATTGAGAAAGAACCCAGGTTTTGAATGGCAGGCCATCTCTCTCTATTACCTGGTGTTCCTGTCCTGGTCCCTGATCTTCTTCTCCATCTCTGCGTCCGTCAGGGTCTCCAGTAGGGGGCACCACGTGTCGGCGTCACCTGTGTTGCGGATAGCGATCTCCACTGTAGGCAGGGGATTCTCACTGCAGGAAATTACATCAGAGCGACAGGAAGTCAAAGACGCAAACGAGGAAGAGAGCGCCCAGGATGGGACATGCTGCGGTCATGGTGTGTTGAAGAAGTGGGATAGCAAATAAGAGGCAAACATTTTTGTCGCTCTTGTGGGTTAGTCCCATTTTGATGAGGAATAGACACACCCTTGATACAAAGGGACAAACATTTGACTTATTGGAACTTAAAGTTTTCCAAAAATGTCTACCATGTATTTTTTTCAAGCCCAAGATGCCATGTAAAAGTAGGAAAGTAAAGCACTGATTCACCACTAGCACACTTAGCCAAAGTCATAAAGCATCCATCAATCAAAAGAGAGTACTGCAAAGTCAAGTCAACGGACGAGAGAGAGCGAAAGAGATATAAAGTGTAAATGTACTCAGCTTCCCAGGGCAGACCGTGTCAAGAGAACGTGGGTGGGTGGCAGAGGGTTAAGCTTGGGGGAAGAGGGGGGGGGTAGGTCAAGTAATTCAAAAGCATATTGACCTGAAATCAGACCTATAAGGGACAGACAAGTGGGGGGAGAGAGAGTAGAAAAGAGAATTAATTTGCAATGCAAAACAAAACAAGCCATGATGATGATTATGATGTTAGCAAAACTCCTCATTTCCCATTTACACACAATCAATGGCTTGAAATGACTCGGAAAGCATTGGCATCAGGGTTGGGCTCAAAACCGAAACCAATGGAATGTCAATTGTTTACTAATACTAAAGAAAAGACCAAATCTGACATTTCTAAATTTGTTAATGTGCTATTTCAGTACATTTCATGAAATAACCAATAGTGAAATTGAATTGAGCCCAACACTGATTGATAAGCAGGGCCCAAATGATCCAAACGTCCCAAATGAACCGAGCCAAGCTGGTGAGACAAACCATGCAAGGCAGAGTGGGGGGAGGAGCATATACACAAACAAAATGGCTGTATGTCTGTGTCACTGGCCGGGGGGAAATCTGTACAGCGTTAAGATATTTCAATATGTAAAACGAATGCCATTACACACTAAAGGAACTGTTTCAGGGTTCAGTTTGCTGGAGAGTACTATTTGAACAGATGAGGGGTAGCGAGGTTTTTGTTTTGGTGGAAAAACACATGGTATTTGTGCTTGTGAATAATGGATGTAGGTGTGTGTGTGTTTGTGTACTCAGTGATGTAAACAGGACGCAGGCAGTCTGTATGTGTTTGAAATCTAAATCCACTTTGTGAGTCATAGGCAAGCAGCCAACTGCTACACCCCTCCACACACACAAACGCCTTAACCTGACCTCACTCCATGTTCATGTCACTGTGAGATACAGTTAATCTTAAAGAACACAGAACATAGTAACATTAGGTGAACTAAATGTGTTCTGGCCTTATTCCAGCAATGTTCCACGATGCAGGCGACCTCAAATCTTGAGTATTTAAGACATCTATTCTACAGGACAGAATGAGGCACTGGGGAATGCTGCGTCTAGGCTGAAAAATGTGTGGGTGTTGCAACAAATACTTTCCAAGCAAATATGTGTGCAGGTATTTCTACCTCAACTTTCAATTTCATCAGTACTCTGGGCAATGCATTGGACATTAATTTGTCTGACCGAGCATGAGTGTGTGAAGGTTCTTGTCTGTGCGGGTGTCCTGTGTTGTTCTTGTGTGTGTGTGTGTGTGTGTGTGTGTGTGTGTGTGTGTGTTACCTGAAGGCGTACGTCCTCTGGTGCCAGCTGAGCTGGCCGCGGATGCTATAGGCGATGGTGGTGACAAACTCTCCTCCCAGGCCCAGCTCGGAGCACAGCTTGAGGGCAAACGTCTCCGGAGAGTTTTCCCTCTCCGACATGTCCCACTCAAACTGGTCCACCAGGGAGATGTTCCCCACGTGGATATTCAGCTGAGTCACACACAACAAACAGTTTAAGCGATACAGTATGTATACGAGTGATGTTGTGACAAACAGGGGTCTCAAACTGGCGGCACTTGGGCCAGATGCAGACACTTGATTTTACTATTGAGATACAGCCCTTGATCTTTGCAGCAGTGAAGTCTTTGTCTTTGTGTGTGTGTGAGACAGACTGACTGACAGACAGACTGTGTGTGTGTAGGGCCCTATAAAATCCACGTTGAGGTAAACGCGGACGGAATCACGGAATCCAGACATTAAAACGGAATTTAACAATATTCAAAAATGCATTGAACTTAGTAGGAAATAATAATAATAATAATATAATAATAATATGCCATTTAGCAGACGCTTTTATCCAAAGCGACTTACAGTCATGCGTGCATACATTTTTGTGTATGGGTGGTCCCGGGGATCGAACCCACTACCTTGGCGTTACAAGCGCCGTGCTCTACCAGCTGAGCTACAGAGGACCACGTAACTAAATGTATTCAACTTATTAGAAAATTCATTCATTTGCCCAAGTTAAATCATAAGACATGAACAAAATGCATCAGTGATTTGTATTTTCCTGCAACTTTCTGAAAGGGCACAGTAATGCCCATCTGTGTGTGTTGTGTGGTGCTCGTATGTCTGGTCTACACTCTGTGTAGCCGTTAGCGATAATGCTAATGATAACCATCTGCTGGTAGATGGAAAGGCTTTCCCAAAAACCTTCTCAATTTTTCACTACAAAGTAGCCTATGCCTACCTGGCAGAATGATTAGAGCCCGACTGATAAATCGGTTATCGGCCAATATTAGCCTTTCACAGAAATATTTGTATCAGTCTTTATTACACAGATAAAAGCGCCGATATTAAATACATAGAATCAACAAATACGTCTGCTCATTTGTGTTAAACATTTTTACATTTCAATGGTTGCCTGAAGAGGGCGCTTGACGAGCTGCTCATTGAACATCATTCCATCCTAGGTCACAATTTGAGAGAGAGCAGGCATGGTGGTTTGAGGGTGAGTAGCATGCCACAACCAGCATATTTGAATAAATAAATAATCAAAAGTACACTTCCCAAGCAAGCAGCCCTGTCCTCATCATATTCGCACTTAGTTATAGGTCCTGAACAGTTATTCTGAAAAGTAATTTCTCTCTCATGGTTACCAGGAAGTTTGAAAAGAGGCTGAGTGGGCGGGGAGCTTATATTCATGAACTCGCCTTGACTGACAGCTCTTTGAAGAGCCTACAGTGCATTCAGAAAGTATTCAGACCCCTTGACTTCTTCCACATTTTGTTACGTTACAGCCTTATTCTAAAATTGATTAAATACATTTTTTCCCTCATCAATCTACACACAATACCCCATAATGACAATGCGAAAACAGGTTTAGAAATACCTTATTTACCCTTTGCTATGAGACTCGAAATTGAGCTCAGGTGCATCCTGTTTTCATTGATCATCCTTGAGATGTTTCTACAACTTGATTGGAGTCCACCTGTGGTAAATGCAATTGATTGGATATGATTTGGAAAGGAACACACCTGTCTATATAAAGGTCCCACAGTTGACAGTGAATGTCAGAGCAAAAACCAAGCCACGAGGTCGAAGGAATTGTCCGTAGAGCTCCGAGACAGGATTTTGTCGAGGCACAGATCTGGGGAAGGTCCCCAAGAACACAGTGGCCTCCATCATTCTTAAATGGAAGAAGTTTGGAACCACCAAGACTCTTCCTAGAGCTGGCCGCCCGGCCAAACTGAGCAATCGGGGGAGAAGGGCCTTGGTCAGGGAGGTGACCAAGAACACGATGGTCACTCTGACAGAGCTCTAGAGTTCCTCTGTGGAGATGGGAGAACCTTCCAGAAGGTCAACCATCTCTGCAGCACTCCACCAAGCAGGCCTTTATGGTAGAGTGGCCAGACAGAAGCCACTCCTCAGTAAAGGGCACAACAGCTGGCTTGGAGTTTGCCAAAAGGCACTTAAAAGGATTCAGACCATGAGAAACAAGATTCTCTGGTCTGATGAAACCAAGATTGAACTCTTTGGCCTGAATGCCAAGCGTCACGTCTGGAGGAAACCTGGCACCATCCCTATGGTGAAGCATGGTGGTGGCAGCATCATGCTGTGGGGATGTTTTTCAGCGGCAGGGACTGGGAGACTAGTCAGGATTGAGGGAAAGAAGAACGGAGCAAAGTACAGAGATATCATTGATGAAACCCTGCTCCAGAGCACTCAGGATATCAAACTGGGGCAAAGGTTCACCTTCCAACAGGACAACGACCCTAAGCACACAGCCAAGACAACGCAGGAGTGGCTTCGGGACAAGTCCCTGAATGTTCTTGAGTGGCCCAGCCAGAGCCAGGACTTGAACCCGATTTAACATATCTGGAAAGACCTGAAAATAGCTGTGCAGCGACGCTCCCCATCCAACCTGACAGAGCTTGAGAGGATCTGCAGAGAAGAATGGGAGAAACTCCCCAAATACAGGTGTGCCAAGCTTGTAGCATCATACCCAAGAAGACTTGAGGCTGTAATCGCTGCCAAAGGGTCTTCAGCAAAGTACTGAGTAAAGGGTCTGAATACTTATGTAAATGTGATATTTCTGTATTTTATGTTTAATACATTTGCACACATTTCTAAAAACCTGTTTTGCTTTGTCATTATGGGGTATTGGTGTGTAGATTGATGAGGGGGGGAAAAACAATTTAATCCATTTTAGAATTAGGCTGTAATGTGGAAAAGGTCAAGGGGTCTGAATACTTTCTGAACGCAACTTGGATGCAGTGAGGAGTTTTGCAGTAAAATCATCAAGCAAATTTGGTGATACACAAAGCAACTCAAACATTGAAATTTCATCGATCATTTATATATATATATATATATATAATTGTTTTCTACATCTCCCATTTGGCATGTCTCTCGTGATGCGGTTCACAGCTGCACTGACGGATGTGTTGACTTGACAACTGCGTCAGAGTTTAACGACCACCCCCCCCACCCCCACCCCCCTTTTGTTCCATGCTGGCTGAAGACCTAGCTAGCCGGTAACCAGATACAGATGAAAGGGGAAACATAAGTATCTTTGCCATAGATAAATAGGGTAAACTTTTTATTATATTTGCCGACACCCTACAGTCCAATTTTGGTACCAGTAGAGTAGCTATCTAGCTATATAAACCACGCCCCTCTGCAAACACGCCTTCTCCGATGTTGGTTACAAGGCGCTGGTACTTATTTAAATTAGGTAAGAGAATATCATGTTACCATTGGTGTATCAAAATGAGAGTTAAGGTGATGTCACTTTGTCCCCTTAATAATGAATCCAAGTGTTTGACATGGTGGAGGAGACGAGTAACTATGATCAAACTTTATCAACGTAGAAGCAACATTCATTCTTCATACTTTGGTCATCATACTTTGATCTGGTTTCCTTCAAATATCATCAAATTTCATGAAAAACATGATTAGGTAGCTTAGCTAGCTCGCAATCTGTGATACTTATGTGCCAACACTGGATTGGCGCCAAAGTGAACACTCGTCATTGATACAAAAATAACACTGTTACTGTATGGACCTATTTTGTTAGCTGGTGGGCTTATTTAGTTAGTTGTTTTCCCAAATATGCAATCTGCAAAAAGCAAGACAGTTGGCGCAGATCTATCATTCAGGCCATGTGCTTGCATTAAATGATGAGATAAGTAGCTAACTTTAGCTAGCTAGCTAAATTAGAATGTGTGATTAAAACCAGTGCGGCAAGATATGCCTGCATAAACGTTTTCAGTCATCAGCGCATGACATTTGCAGTTGAAATTTATAGCCAATACCTTTCGAATTACAATGTAATGTACATATGGTTTCTGTAAGGAAACATTGTCGTAATGAACAGCTAGCCTGCGCTTGATATAACGTACTCTCACTGCGAGGTTGCCATAAAGTGTTTGCTTACATGACCTTTGACTGTTGTAAACACTGTAGTAAATCTACTCAAGACAAATGCTGATACCTAGTTACGAACAGCAGGTTACTGCATTTCAATGCTTATTTGTGAACAGTGCCATTTCAGATTGACTTTGAGACAAAGTTTAATTCTCTCAGCCAGCCACCCCTAGCAAACACTTTTGCATACTTCTTATGCACTGCCACAGATAGGGCCAACTTCAAAATGTGTCTAAGAAGATAAAACATATATAAACATATTTTACTGTCGTATTTATAGAGGCTATACAGTGAGGGAAAAAAGTATTTGATCCCCTGCTGATTTTGTACGTTTGCCAACTGACAAAGAAATGATCAGTCTATAATTTTTATGGTAGGTTTATTTGAACAGTGAGAGACAGAATAACAACAAAAAAATCCAGAAAAAATAATTGTCAAAAATGTTATAAATGGATTTGCATTTTAATGGAGGGAAATAAGTATTTGACCCCCTCTCAACCAGAAAGATTTCTGGCTCCCAGTTGTCTTTTATACAGGTAACGAGCTGAGATTAGGAGCACACTCTTAAAGGGAGTGCTCCTAATCTCAGCTTGTTACCTGTATAAAAGACACCTGTCCACAGAAGCAATCAATCAGATTCCAAACTCTCCACCATGACCAAGACCAAAGAGCTCTCCAAGGATGTCAGGGACAAGATTGTAGACCTACACAAGGCTGGAATGGGCTACAAGACCATCGCCAAGCAGCTTGGTGAGAAGGTGACAACAGTTGGTGCGATTATTCGCAAATGGAAGAAACACAAAATAACTGTCAATCTCCCTCGGCCTGGGGCTCCATGCAAGATCTCACCTCGTGGAGTTGCAATGATCATGAGAACGGTGAGGAATCAGCCCAGAACTACACGGGAGGATCTTGTCAATGATCTCAAGGCAGCTGGGACCATAGTCACCAAGAAAACAATTGGTAACACACTACGCCGTGAAGGACTGAAATCATGCAGCGCCCGCAAGGTCCCCCTGCTCAAGAAAGCACATATACAGGCCCGTATGAAGTTTGCCAATGAACATCTGAATGATTCAGAGGAGAACTGGGTGAAAGTGTTGTGGTCAGATGAGACCAAAATCGAGGTCTTTGGCATCAACTCAACTCGCCGTGTTTGGAGGAGGTGGAATGCTGCCTATGACCCCAAGGACACCATCAAACATGGAGGTGGAAACATTATGCTAAGGGAGTGTTTTTTTGCTAAGGGGATAGGACAACTTCACCGCATCAAAGGGACAATGGACGGGGCCATGTACCGTCAACTCTCGGGTGAGAACCTCCTTCCCTCAGCCAGGGCATTGAAAATGGGTCGTGGATGGGTATTCCAGCATGACAATGACCCAAAACACACGGCCAAGGCAACAAAGGAGAGGCTCAAGAAGAAGCACATTAAGGTCCTGGAGTGGCCTAGCCAGTCTCCAGACCTTAATCCCATAGAAAATCTGTGGAGGGAGCTGAAGGTTTGAGTTGCCAAAAGTCAGCCTCGAAACCTTAATGACTTGGAGAAGATCTGCAAAGAGGAGTGGGACAAAATCCCTCCTGAGATGTGTGCAAACCTGGTGGCCAACTACAAGAAATGTCTGACCTCTGTGATTGCCAACAAGGGTTTTGCCACCAAGTACTAAGTCATGTTTTGCAGAGGGGTCAAATACTTATTTCCCTCATTAAAATGCGAATCAATTTATAACATTTTTGACATGCGTTTTTCTGGATTTTTGTTGTTGTTATTCTGTCTCTCACTGTTCAAATAAACCTACCATTAAAATGATAGACTGATCATGTCTTTGTCAGTGGGCAAATGTACAAAATCAGCAGGGGATCAAATACTTTTTTCCCTCAGTGTAGTTGCTTTTTGTTGGATATCCTGTAAACCACAAATAAAATGTTCTTAAATAAATGATAGAAAAAATATTTTTTTAAGAAATCATCAGAGTATCTGGTAATACTTTGTAGCACAATTGGTGTAAAAAATAATATATGTTTTTCATTCCACCTCTAACAAACAATATATCGGTAGATATAACGGTAATCGGTGACTTTTGCTTCCCTAAAATCTGTATTAGACCCAAAAATCTCATATCGGTTCGGCTCTAAGAGTGATATCATGATTATTTGCATCAATCCAGTGCCGATTTGTTTTTGCAAACTCTGCAATCACATGAGCGCAGTCTCTGGCTGGTGGCACTTGCATTAAAGGGTAACTACACCATTTTTTCAGAGACCTCAAAAGTGGCTTTGTGAAGTGGTTTAAGCATTGTTGTGGACTAAGAACAAACTTTTGTTGTTTTTCTATTTAAAAAATGTATGATTTTGAGAGCGAAAACCAGAAAAAAACGGAAACCTGTAAAAACAAAAACGGAATCAGGCAAAAAAAACTAAAAACTAATTGTATAGGGCCCTAGTGTGTGTACCCACCTTGATGATGACCCTCTGGTCGGTCTGCTCGTCCAGGATGCTGTCTGTGGGGTAGGACTCTATCTGCTGGCGGATGGCTGAGGCAATGGCCGGGACAAAGGCCAGGGGGTTCAGGTCCAGGTCGTCACACAGGATCTCTGCAAACATCTCCGGGGTCATCAGCTTCTCTGAAGGAGAGGATGGTGGGAGAGTCTCATTAGTCTAAAGAGGCTTCCTATGTGTATGTTCATGCATCTTCAGATCAGTGCACATAAAAAAAGAGGAGGCAAGGATAGGAAGGAAGCCACTTTAGATTAATGAAATGCATTCAGTGTGGCTTTTGAGGCCGTTTCTGTTACAGGCAAACAATTCTACAGCCTTTTAGGTTGTTTTCAGAATAACACCCTTAACTGGACTTTGTTGCTCCAAAGCAGTCTTCCACCCGGGGGATGGAGAGTGGAGCAGTACCGTTCATGTTCCAGGTGAACGCATCTCTGAGCTTCTGCCCGTCAATCTCCATGTCCAGACGGATGGGAACTAGCACCTCGGCCTGAGACGCGTTCTCGTGGATCACCGCTGGGTCGTGGTCGTCAAAGCTTCGCAGAGGGAAGAAGAGGGGGAAGACAAGGCGTTAGATTACGCTACAATCTACGAAACGTTAGTACGTCATTTGTTGGCATCCTATAGAGTTATTGTAGACACCTTTAAAGACATTTATCATGAATAACAGGCTCTAAAATCTACCGCTAATTTAGCTTTTACTCGCCTGCAGCAGGTCATTGCTAGCAAAAGATTAATCCAATCAACGTCATTGTACACTGGTGGCCATGTCTGATACACCATTGGGAATGTATGATGAATTGATGCTTATCACATGGGAATTCTGTGTGTCTCTCTCTGTCAGCATTCTACTAGCCTGGTGGTCTAGTCTGTTTGTACTTGCGCCAACTCCTTTCTGTGTTTGTTCATTTGTCATGCTAACCCTATGTATGTCTTGACAACGACAGAAGAGTTGGCTCCACACATAAAGAAATGGCCAGGGTAGTAGTCTACACATTCTTAGTAAATTATTTTTAGTTCTGTGTTGGACCCCAGGAATATTAGCCGATGTCATGACATCAGTTAATTGGGATGCTAATAAAATTAAAATTCAACAATGGCAAATTCTACTGTCCCGACAAATTGGGTGGACTGTGAAAGATTCATAGATCTGTCTACTCTACTGGTTTATAGGGTATTTTCTGGTCTAGATGTCTATCAACATTAACATTCAGAGTGCAGCTTGCACAACATGCGCTGTTCAGCAGATCACATCTGCGTCAGAGAAAGGAGAGATGTTCACTAGAGAAGCCACAAGATGGGTCTCGCCAAAACCACAGCAAAATAAGCAATGCTTTGAGACATACATGCTTACGTTGTGTGTTTTCAAGGTCTTGAAAAAAAGATGTTATTTCTAGCATTGTAGAGGCCTTTTGGAGACATTGTGTCAACAACCTAGCTGGGAAAGTGATACTAGGTCCAACATTTTTTAAGGATTCAAAACCCACAGAAAAGTGTTAGACCTCCGAAGTAAACAAGTGTTGTTTATTACCCCACCCTGTTGCCTTAGCAACTTAGGCTATACGATGTGAAAAAGCATCACTGTTTATTCACCCACAGTTTACATCACTCTTTGTTTGTTCAAATAATTTAGTTATTTAGGCCTACATTTTTCACAAGTTAAGGGTGTCCTATTACAAAACTAACTTTTCTACCATCAGATAAACAAGACCCTAACATAATTGAGTATGTACTTCCCTATTTATTATCTAAACCGTAGTTACAAACGCACACAGCAACTAAACAAAGATGGCCACCTTGCAATTCCAGCATGAAAACAAGCGCTACGGTCAGAGACCATGCCTGTTGAAAACATGGCAACGGCACTTAAAAGCCTCCATCTTTCAAGGTCAGCAAAAAATGCCCCTGTATAAACATATGTTTTGATAAGTTCCAGCCACACAATTAAATGCGTGTGTGATGTAGACGAGTGGGCTGTGGGAAGGGGGAGAGAGGGAGGTATGTTTTCATAGACGGTCATGTCAGGACAGGAGACAGGGCTTGCTTTCTGGAAGACCATCGGAAAAGCAGCTGATGATGAACGAGCAACTCTACCGAATGTAAAAACAAGAGGAAGGAGTCCCAGTGACCCTGGATGGCCTCTGTCTCAGACTGCATCGCCTGACCCCCAAATAGCTTGAGAGCAGGAGGGTGATATAGAGTGCGACTGAACCATCCCTTAATTTTCCCACACTCTGAAGGTTCCCCATAATGGATCGCGGCTATACAGTCATCCATTCACTGATGAGAGCCGTTGAGCAAGCAGATCTGAGATTCCTTGTGTGGCCATATCGGGACCTTGTAGCGATCAATGAGAAACAGAGTAGAAAGCCAGTCTCTCAAGAGTCAAAGGGCCATTCTAACCTGGCCTGAAAAATGCAGCAATGTCTCTCAATTTGGAAGACAAGATTCATTAAGACTATAAAACAACTTTTTGTTCTAACACAATTTTTTTTAACAAATCAAAACATAACTAAAAAGAAGAAATTGACACTTACATCTGCAAATGATGTTATGTAATTATGAACTCAAATGTATTGATGTGAAAGTTGGATTGTATTTTTGTGAAGTATATATTATTTTAAAATGTGAAAAACTTAGTTTATTAAAAAAATAAAAATAAAGGGCACATCTATATAAATGGTACACAAGCAATCAAAGTATATTTGTAGTTGTATTTATATGAATACATCCACAAACATTGGCCAATATGGAAGGGCTTTCCTCACCACAGGGGGAAGGTCCTCTTCTTGTCGCGGCCCATGCGGTTGCGGTTGATGGTGGTGGAGCAGGGAACGGCGTCCAGGTGGTGGGAGCTGTTGGGCAGCGTGGGGACCCACTGGCTGTTCCTCTTCGCCTTCTGCTCCCTGAGATGGACAGAGAAGTAGGGACTTTTGAGAATGTGGGGACATTGAAAATGCAATACTGTGACCAATGAAACCCATTTGGGTTTGTTCACACGCCAAGGTGCCTGTAGTAGCTTGAAAAGGCACAATTTGGTAATAGTCGATATTGTCATGCACTAGCTGTTACGCAGGACTCGTATGTAATGGTCCTGTTTGGCTCAGTTGGTAGTGCATGGTGCTTGCAACTCCAGGGTTGTGGATTCCATTCCCAAGGGGGACAAGTACAAAAAGTATGAAAATGTATGCACTCACTACTGTAAATTGCTCTGGATAAGAGCGTCTGCTAAATGACTAAAATTTAAAATATGTAAATGTAGATAACAAGTAGGCATTACCTGAGGTAGGCCGGTGGCTCTGTGCTGATAGAAACAGCTTTGTACTTCTCATCGTTCCCCTCGAAGATCTCTTCACATTCGGATGCCTTCAGCAGAGTCACACTTGTGGCTAAAAGTTATGTAACCATGTGTTAATAATGTTTTGCACTAACTCACTTTACCCCTACCTAGATGTACATAGCTACCTCTATTACCTACTACCCCTGCACATCGACTCGGTACTGGTACTCCCTGTATATAGTCATGTTATTTTTTACTCGTTACTGTTATTTGTCATATACCGTGTGTTTATTCCTCGTGTCACTATTTCTTTAACTCTACATTGTTAGAAAATGACCATTAAGTGAGCAGTTCACTGTTAGGCTACACCTGTTGTTTACGAAACGCGACAAAAAAAAAGGACGCTAGGATGCTACTTGCTGCCTGGGCGTATAAGTGTACGTGTGAATAACAATAAAATAAAAATGGTATAAGATGTCAAGAGCGTATCACTCACCGTGAGATGATGCTACAATTTTCTTCCTCTCCTCTACGGAGGCTAACCTCCTCGAGAGTGATGGGTACCTTTTATACAGGGAGCCCCTGAACATACGCAGGTAGTTTCCAACCTGAGAGTAAGGAAGAGAGTCAGCTATTCTGTGCTTACTAGTAGAGTATAGAGCCCAGAAACAACCCCAAGCCCCTACACTTCATGTAGCCAAGTATTGACGGAGTACGTAGCTAGCTAGCCGACGAAACTCAACGATTTACGATCGTACATCGCAGGGGGTTGAGTCGGCTTGTAGCTAGCTATTTATACAGTTGTTCACTTTAGTTAGCTAGATCTTGTTGCTGCCTAGGGATCCAAGGCATCTCATATCTCCAATAGTGTTTGACTATAGTATGGGCAGGGAGTAGCTGTCTGGAGTTGTTGAATGAACAAATGTTGGGAGAGAACCACCCAGCGCACAACTCCAGACCGGACGGTCACAACAATGCCGGACTTAGCTAGCTAGCTACCTAACGTTAGCTTGATACAAAGCAGTTTGTCCATTGAATGGGTCAATTGTACTAGCTCCTACAATACAAAGTATAGACTACACTTTAATTGCATGCAAGCTTGACAGTGCTAGCGAACTAACGTTAGTTAGCTAGACATGATTCATTCTGCAAAGCGGGATGTTAGCTAGTTTGAGCTCTAGCCAGCTAACTTGGCTAGTTAGCTGCTAACGTTAGCTTTCAGAACAGACACAACAATGCAACCGCACAGGCTGATGATGACCAACATTCTGGCTGCCAGTACGCTGTGTTGCCAGCTAAATATTCCCGTTATCATACAGCTCATACATACCTCTGATCCAACCATGTAAAAGTCTCCATCTTGCTCTAACTGAAATTTTATCGGTTTCTGCCCAAAGGTTTTGCTTAACGCCATTTTTACAGTAGCTAGTAACTGGGCCAAAGTAGCTAACAGTAACAAAGCTCCACAGCGCATGCTCAAACTGACATGTTTAAAAGCGTCAGTTCCGCGCGTAGGCGCCAAGGTGCGATATCTTGTGAAGATAAGAAGAAAAAAGAAGAACTGTATTTCTATGGTCAATAACCTGGCATTTGACCAGTGATAAAATGTTTGCCAAACATTTAAAAAATATATATGTAGCTACCACCTCTGTGGAGAGTTGGTGGTCTAATGAAAATTGTGCATCTGTGACTGTGATTGTTTGTAGTGTCAGCGGAGTCTGTGTGATTGTCAATTTCGGACAGTAGAGTAGCCTTCTTCCTCCAGTGGTGGAAAAAGTGCCCAATTGTCATACTTGACTAAAAGTAAAGACACCTTAATAGGAAATGACTCAAGTGAAAGTCACCCAGTGAAATAGTACTTTATTAAAAGTCAAAAAGTATTTGGTTTTAAATATACTTAAGTATCAAAAGTAAATGTAATTGCAAAAATGTACTTAAGTATCAAAAGTAAAAGTATAAATCATTTCAAATGTATTATATTACAGTTTTTTCTGAATGCTTAAGCGCTAATCGTGATTCTTGTAGCACAATTTCTAAAACTATTAATACGTATAGCAAAACCACTCACTGAGTTTGCAAAACTAAAAGCACAAACACTGCTTTGCACTCAGTTTACAATTTTGTAACACACACTTTGCAAAACTGTAGGCACAATTCACTGCACAACACTCTTTTTGCAGAACTTTAAACACAACTCACTGCTTACACTCAATTACCAAATTTCCAACACACTCCTAGCAAAATTATACACATGTATGGCTATCATTAACACTATTTTGCCAACTGTCTGGCACACTTGCACATGTGAAAACTGTTGTAGATAATTAGTTCACTTTGCAATCAGCCTAAGCACTATAAATAAGCCACAGGTAAGCTGTCTGTGTGGAGTACAATGGAAGGAGCAGTAAGAGGGAGAAGAGTGAGAATCAGAGGAGGCCGAGGAGGCCGAGGGAGAGGACGTGGAGTTGAAGAAGTTGGAGGAAGAGGACGTGGAGTTGAAGAAGCGAGAGGGTTAGAGGAAGTTATAGGAAGAGGACAAGGAGGAGCAAGAAGAGGACGAGGAGGGGAAAGAGGAAGGGTAAGAAGAGTAAGAAATAGAATAACTGATGACATCAGAGCTACAATAGTGGACCATGTCATCAACCATGGGATGACCCTGAGGGAAGCTGGCCAACGGGTTCAGCCTAATTTGAGCCGCTACACTGTGGCAAGCATCATTAGGACATTTCGAAATGAGAATCGGTAACTACTTTGTAACACTGCCATACTCTAATGAGAAACACAACAGTACCATACATGCAAAAATACTGAAATTGTTACTTTACAGAATTGCTAGACGTCCAGATGTTGGGGGCAGAGGAAGAATGTTCACTCCAGAGCAAGAGACCCAGATAGTGAACATGGTGATTGCCAATAATGCAATAAGACTGCGCGAAATACAGCAGCGCATAATTGATAATGACACCATCTTTCAAAATATACACAGTGTAAGTATTTCTGCACTAAGTCGTGTACTTGCGCGCCACAGAATAAGAATGAAGCAAATTTACAGAGTTCCTTTCGAGAGAAACACAGAACGTGTAAAGCAACTGCGATATGACTATGTGCAGGTAAGCTATAGTGTCATTGGTTCTGAATTTGGAAGTGCATACTGTAGTGCTGTGCATGGGCCTGATGTGTTGCATTTGTTTTGTCTTGATGGAAATAGAAGCAGATGCCATGGGACATGAGCTAATTTTTGTAGATGAGGCCGGTTTTAACCTCAGTAAAACCAGGAGACGTGGCAGGAACATTATTGGACACCGTGCCATCATCAATGTCCCAGGACAACGTGGTGGTAACATAACCATGTGTGCAGCTATAAGCCAAAATGGTGTTGTTCACCATCATGCAACCTTAGGCCCATACAACACTGCACACATTATTGCATTCCTGGACACCTTACATGACATGCTCACTGTTCAGAGACCAGAGCATACCCGATATGTCATCATATGGGACAATGTTAGTTTCCATAGGGCTGCTTTGGTCCGCAACTGGTTTACAGACCACCCATTCTTCATGGCACTCAACCTCCCTCCATACTCTCCATTCTTAAATCCCATCGAGGAGTTCTTCTCTGCCTGGCGCTGGAAAGTGTACGAACGTCATCCTCATCAACAGGTAGCCCTTTTACAGGCAATGGAGGAGGCATGTGGAGATATTGACCAGGCATCATGTCAGGCCTGGATACGGCATTCAAGGAGATATTTTCCCCGGTGCCTTGGACTGGAGGATATCGCATGCGATGTGGACGAAATTTTGTGGCCGGACCCAGAAAGACGACATGATGTAGGCTGATTGTTTTTCTTTTTTTTGTGAAATTACTATTTTGTGTTCTGACTTTGTCTTGGTTTTGATGAGTGTGAATAAACACCAATACTTGAAGTTTGGATCCTTGTATGTTTACATGACACTATGACAAAAGTATGACCTCAAATTGACATCTGTACACAGAGAAAGCAAAAGCCAGATGTGTTTTGTATTCATACCATCAGTGTGTAGTTGGCACATTGTGTGCTTAGTAGATGATGGCTTGTGTTTACTGTTTGATACGAAAACACCATTTTTAAGAAGGTGTGAAGAGTTAATCTAGCTGTGTTCGCTTTTGCAAGAGAACTACAATGTTTTGATAATTGGGTGAAAGGTTTTCTTATTTGTGTGTAGAGTTTTGCAAAAATAGCCAATAGTTACAAAAAATTTGCATAACCAATCAGAAAAAACTGTAAGGAGAACTCATAACAATGGATCAGTTCTCTGTCTGCCCTGCGTGGTATTTCAGTGAGCCCGTATACGAACCATCATACTTATCATACATACATTTTGCATATAATAAATTTAGCTTGGATTGAATATCTCTTGATTATGTTTTCTCTTATTCCAATACCAGATTTGAATTACGCAATTTCTAACAATTGGTGACCTCCGACTGTGATCTGGTAGCGGAACTTCGCTGGAATTCACCCAGCCCATTGGACATCGCTGTCGTCGAACGGTGTGTTTCACAAAGTGCCCGGGCTTCTAAAAACAGGTAAGCAGACACCTATTGTTATGTAACTAATGTTCTGCACATTGGCTTTATCCAAATTAATTTTGTGAAGCACCTGTTTCATGTAAGTTAACTCTATTACGCTATAAATAACGATTATAGAATACTAATTCAATTTTATAGAATACCATGCAAATGTTTGATAATTCTGATGGTTAAACCCATGGGAAATAGAAGCGGCTGTGTGCCCATAGAGGAGGCTGTGTGCCCAATAGAAGCGGCTGTGTGCCCATAGAGGAGGCTGTGTGCCCAATAGAAGCGGCTGTGTGCCCAATAGAGGAGGCTGTGTGCCCAATAGAAGCGGCTGTGTGCCCATAGAGGAGGCTGTGTGCCCAATAGAAGCGGCTGTGTGCCCAAATAGATTGTGTGTTGAGTGTAAGTGTGTCATTTATGACTGTGTGACATATTTGACTGTGTGATAGGATTATGACTGTGTATTGTGAGTGAGTGTGATAACTGTGTACTATTTTTGCTGTGTGATAACTGTATACTACGTTTAACTGTGTGATAACTGTGTACCATTTTGGCTGTGAATACAAACAATATTTTAAAACAGTAAATAATGAGAATTACAATTAGGAAATAAAGTTTAAATTGTGCAAACGTAAACAAAAGACACCCATAGGAGGTACTTTAAATAGATAGGCAGTGCGACGCTATGGCACATATCAGTTCAGACTAGATATGACTAGGTTCAAAGGAGACACTTAAAATTCTTTAAGACAGGGGTGACGCTATGCATGAGAGTGTGAATGATAAACCTGTATACCTTGATAGAAAACTAATTGGGAATCAAAGACGTCTGTGGCTGTCCAAACTGTATAATTTGTGAATAACTGTTGGGTTTGTGGTTGCTTAAACCGTATAACCCGTTAATAACAATTGGGAACATAAAGCTAAAGTGATGAATGGCTAGTGTGACTGAACTGAAACGTTTGAGCTGATATGATTGAACTGTGGCGTTTGATGTTTGACATAGCATAATACTGGTTTTAGGTGCTTGGGTTGAGGCTTTTTGGTTAATTATTTGATTTAACGTTTGATGTTTGACCCTGCAAAATACTGGTTAAACAATTAGACTGAAAATGATTCGGTTTATCGTTGAAATATAAATATGCACCGACTTTAACTAATTAGGTGGGAATAATTTGATTTAAATAAATAGACTAAAGTACTTTAAATAACGGCAGAATATTGGAAACTCTAAAACGAAAAACAGCTCCTCAAAAAGCCTGTTCCCAGAAGGGAGAGTTGCGAGGGGAGGGGCTGGAGACAGCGAAAGTGTGGCTTTTGGAGCCAGGAAAGACTGGGAGTTGGCTGGGAACACCACGGGGCGATTGTTTGAGAGGTGCCTGTGGGTTTCTGACGATATATACGTATGAACTTGCTCACCCGAACGTAGACGTATGTCAGGGGTGAGAAAGTAGAGAATATTTACATTTGCATTTTTGGTAATTTGGCAGACGCTCTTGTCCAGAGCGACTTATGGGAGCAATTGGGGTTGGGTGACTTGCTCGAGGGCACATCGGCAGATTTTTCGCCTGGTCGGCTCGGGGATTGGAACCGGCGACCTCACGGTTGTTGGCGCGGCACTATTGGTCACTAAGCTGCCTGCCGCCCCATATGAGTTTAAGGTTGTGCCGTTGTTTGATCATGTGATAAGGTTTGATGGGTGATCGGACTATGACTGGTGTGGTTATGGAAGTCATGTATAGATAGTGGAGAGCCAATAGGGGGCTCCATTGAACTATTATGGTTTATTTGGCATTTCGGTGGCATGAGGTGAAGTCTGTGTGTATGAGTGAATTCAACGGCTGGTGTGGGTGGTGACCGGATGCTACGGAGTGTTTGGTTTGGTAATGTTGAATGGACTATTTGTAGCGTGTTTTGG